CCAGGCACCGGTTCAGGACCTCGACAGCCTCCTTAGTAGCAGGTGGAAAGGAGTGACAGAGTTGGACATCATCTGCGTACAGATGACACCGCACCCCGAAACTCCGGATGATCTCACCCAGCGGCTTCATGTAGATATTAAACAGCATGGGGGACAATATAGAACCCTGTGGAACCCCACAGGTCAACGGCTGTGGTGTTGAACAGCAGTCCCCCAATAACACCTTCTGGGTACGACCCTCCAGAAATGACTGGAGCCACTGCAGAGCAGTGCCCCCAAGACCCATTTCCGCAAGGCGCCCCAGAAGGATACCGTGGTCGACGGTATCGAAGGCCGCTGAGAGGTCCAGGAGCACCAACAGGGACACACTCCCCCTGTCTAGCTCCCCGCGCAGATCATCCACTAAGGCGACCAAGACCGTCTCGGTACCATGTCCCGGTCTGAAACCAGACTGTGCCGGATCCAGAATATCCGTGTCTCTCAAGAATACCTGGAGTTGTGAGGCCACCACGCTTTCCATGACTTTGCCCAAAAAGGGGAGATTGGAAACAGGCCGAAAGTTGTCGAATTTAGTGGGGTCCAATGATGGTTTCTTCAACAGCGGTTTTATAATTGCTTGTTTTAAGCACGCTGAAATCTTGCCTTCCCGAAGGGAGGCATTAACCACCACCGTTACCCACTCAACCAATCCCCCTCTGGCCTCTTTCAGAAGCCAGGATGGGCAGGGGTCTAGGATGGACGTGGTAGGCCTCATTCCTCCAAGTATCTTGTCCACATCCTCGGGCTTCACCAATTGAAATGAATCCATCAAAATAGGACAAGCAGGTGCTCTTGTTACATCCACAGAGACTGCATTTAACATGGTGTCCAGCTCAGAACGGATCAAAGCGACTTTGTCTGCAAAGAACCGAGCAAATGCTTCACAGCGCGTGACCGAATTGTCAGGGCTCCCGCCTGAAGTGGCGGGAGTTAAAAGACCTCTGACAATCCGAAACAACTCCGCCGGACGGTTCTTTGCAGACGCAATAGAAGCTGCAAAGAAGGTTTTCTTTGCGGCTTTTATTGCCGCGGCGTATGCCCTTAAAAAGGACACAAACCGTGTTCGATTTGACTCGCTTGGGTCTGAACGCCACACGCTCTCCAGTTCCCTCTTCCTTCGCTTCATCACTGCCAGCTCCTCAGTAAACCAAGGGGCTGGTTTAGCTCGGCTACTTGAGAGGGGACGTTCCGGAGCGATCGTGTCAATTGCCCTGGTCATCTCCCCATTCCAGAGAGCGACCAAGGCCTCGACATGATCACCTACCGCGGAGGCGGGAAAATCCCCAAGAGCCGTCAGGAATCCGTTCGGATCCATAAGCCTCCTGGGGCGGACCATCTTAATGGGTCCTCCACCCTTGCAGAGGTTAGGGGGTGCAGTGAGCCTAAATCTGATCAGGAAGTGGTCAGTCCATGGCAACGGAGAGATAGACAACTCCTCCACACCGCCACCCTGCTCCCATCCCTGACAGAAAACTAAGTCCAATGTGTGTCCAGCACAATGGGTGGGGCCAGATATTTGTTGGGACAGCCCCATGGTTGCCATGGCCGACATGAAGTCCTGAGCCGCTCCTGTGAGGGTCGCCTCGGCATGGATATTGAAGTCCCCCAGCACCAAGAGCCGTTGAGACTCCAACGCCAGGCTCGAGACTACCCCCGCTAGCTCAGGTAGGGAGACTGTAGTGCAGCGAGGTGGACGGTACACTAACAGAATCCCTATTCTGTCCCGGTCACCCACCCTTAGGTGGACGCATTCAAAATTTGTGGTCTGCGGGATGGGGCTCCTGGTCAGATGGATGGAATCTCTATAGACCACTGCAACCCCGCCTCCCCGTCCTCCGGATCTCGGTTGGTGCTGTACGGAGAACCCTGGAGGACAAAGCTGGGTCAGATTCACCCCCCCAGCTTCATCCAACCAGGTCTCCGTAATGCACGCCAGATCTGCCCGCTCGTCCAGGATTAAATCCTGGATAAAGGATGTTTTTCCGTTGACAGATCTGGCGTTCAGCAGCACCACCTTCAATCCAGAGGGCCCGCTCACCTGGTTACACCAATTTACCTTAGGAGACCGATTTGGGATTACTAATTTTGATAAGCGGTCCGAATTAAGCCGAATTCGAGGTCTCCTTTTTCCGCATCTCCTCCTTCCCACCACGACCTCTATGGGGGCCCCTCGGCTAGTGGAACACCTCCCCCCCTCCATGCCGCGGTCCCAAACCAGGGTCTTGATATCTGTTTCATTAGATGTTTGGTTTGTTGGTCCCTGCCAACTCCCTTGCTTCCCCTCCTCCCCCCTCCCCGCCTCATTATTGTTCACCGGCTCCAGCCCACTTCCTCCTCCGTCCCTTCCACTGGTCACTAAAAACAGAAACAACACAAGTAGGGGGATGGGGGACCACATGGATAATAATAGTCCCGATGATGTTACTAACCTTGAAAATGATAGATCCCATCCGTTCCTGCAGTGAAAGTGAACTAGACACGAGAGGAAGAATTCTCAGGAATAAAATCTAAATCATCAAATCAGATGTAACCTTAGGCTCTGCTCGTGGTGACTCAGAACAATGTGGCCTTTCATTGGTTGCAAGACTTTTTCTGTGGTTGAATTTTAATTCCAGGATGTCAGTTTTCTCCTATACCCTTCTTTTTCAGAATCTAGATAGAAGCATAGATATTAGAACAAGCTTTCGGGAGGGGTGTGTGTGATTTTTCTTGCATTTTTTTCACATGTCATATAATATTTTACTTTCTATATTATTTATAATCTTAATAGCTTTCTATAGATAGCTTTCTTGAGAACATCAGATGTAATTATGAACATATAAAATTATATAAATATGATTAAAATTACATTATAAGAAAACTGCATAATGGTATTACTAATAAATATAATTTATGAGCAGTAGCACATTTTGCATTCTATAGGAAGCCAAGTGTCTTACCTTTTTGTTATATCATCTTCCAGAAGCTCCTGATATGAACAGCTTTTTCTAAAATAAACTTCTAACACCTGTTGCATAAATATGGTTGGCTTCCACTATAACAACAACAACTTTATCTACATTCTGCCCTATCTCCCCAAGGGGACTCAGGGCAGATCACAGTACACATACACAACAAAAATTCAATGCCGTTCGGCCAGACAGGGCAGAACGGACAGGAAGGAGGTAAGTTGTCAATGCCTTGGAGGTTGTGCTCAAATCCAGCCACAGGGGTGCTGTCACTCCATCTCTATGACGAAGAGCAATCAGGACTTCCTCCTTCCTTTTGCTCACCGGTGTTTCTGGTCTTTTTTCTTTTTATGGTGTCGTAAAATACCTCCCCCACTTTTTAGTGGTATTTAATTTCTCTACTTACAGCTCGAAGATGTTTTCAAACTGCTTAGGTAAACAGTGAGCTGGGCTGACAGTAGGGCCAATCTGGGCTTCGAACTGGCAACCTTTCAGTCGGTAGATCTTATTGCTGCTGGTGATTTACCATTTTCCTTCACCACCACCAATTCCATTTCAAAACAGATAAATGCAACATAGCAGGAAGCAAGGTTAGAAAACCATCTTGGTGTTGTGTTTAACAGTCAGCAATCAGAGTCAAGAGGAATTCACATCTTTCCACTCTTAATTGTTATTAGTGGCAAAGGGCAAAATAACTATACCTAAGCAGGTGTATCCTGGTCCCCATAGGCTCATTCCTGGATGACTGAATACACTTGGAGGATTGAAGTGACTGGCTTGACCTTGAAGGAGCTGGGGGTGGCGATGGAAGCGACTGGACGAATAAACAACAGAAGGTGCACACAAAAATGGCAAGTTACTTGCCATAGTATCGAAAGGTTGTAAAGGCGAGTTAATATTTTAAGCAGTGACTTATGAGACACATTTTTCATTCAAATATTGCCTGGTATGAGTAATACCAAATCTTATTCTGATTCAACTGATTAAAGTAGCCAAAACAAAGCTTCACTGGTTCTAGCAAGGCTATAATAAGAGTAAGGCATAAACACCAAACTGACTCTGTAAATTTGGTTATACCGTGATAAGGAACACAATTTCAGCACGTTTCCTTGAATAATTTGGATTATGGAGAAGTGTATACAGTATACAGTCGGATGCAGAGCGAAGTGGTTACGGTAAGCACAAAGCAACAGAGAGCAACACGAAGAACACCTCAAATAATGAGTCCAGACACATGAAGTTGGATAAATCAAGGGCCACTTTATTTGATCTATGAAGCAATAGGATTTCAATGATTTTTTTAAAAAGCTGCTTGGAAAAGAAATCTTAAATGTTCCAAATATGCCACCTAATTTATAATGAAAGTGCATACATTCTTCACTGAGATTAAGTCTCTAAATTGTGGGTGGTGCTCAAATGCAAAGGACATGGTCTACTTTTGTGACACCTGGGGCCATGCTGATGAATTCCTCCCCCTCCCCTCCCCCTCGATATCAATCTCCTAACTGCAGTGGTTCTCAACCTGTGAGTCCCTAGATGTTTTGACCTTCAACTCCCAGAAATCCTAGTAGCTGGTAAACTGGCTGGGATTTCTGGGAGTCGTAGGCCAAAACACCAGGGGACCCACAGGTTGAGAACCACTGCCTTACTGGATTCATTTCACGTAAAAAATATATGAAAGAATTGTGTCAATAGGACATAATTCTTCTCTAAAACCAGGTGTGCACTGTATTGTTTTTAATCTGAAGGGTTAACCTGAAGAATCCTTGAACTAGGAAAAGGACCATGGCTGTTGCCTATCTGTGTGCTAAATATTGGTATTTAGATAACATTTTGCTTCCGCTGCTGCATGATTCTAGATTCCATTATGTTCCCAATATAGCTTGAATAAGGAGGGTATCAAATCTCTGTGCATAAAGCAAAATGAAAAAAAAAAACACTTCGTCAGTTTTAGTTCCACTTAAATACAGAAATACTTTTTTTTTTAACAAAATGTAAGAGAACAAAAAAGCGTTCATGTCATAATGGTTATTTATTTTAGATTTACAGATAAAAACCTTTGGATAAATCCGTGCAATATGTAATGCTTATCTTGACCGGCTGTATAAGTGAAAACCTTCACACAACAGTATTTTGTGGCTCAGAGGAATCATTCAGGTTTGTAATGTCTGGTTACATGAAGTGAATCCCATCTTCTGTTCCTTCAGAGGTGGGCAGCTGCTAAACAATTTAACACAAACAGTTACTGTATCACAAAACAGTGCAAAGAAATGTGATTTCAAATCATGTGACCTTAATATACAGAGTCCAGATGTGGAGCCACAATCTTACCAAGCAGTTATCTTCTCCAAAGAGTTAGGAGGTTTTTCTTCTTTGCTCAGTGAGATGTTTTCCATACAAAGTTTTTTACAATATGCCATTACAACAGTCTTGGTTACAGATTCAATTCAACACATAATGACAAATAAAAATGTACAACAGTCTTCTGCATCATGAAAAATGCAAGGACTTTTCATGCATGTTACATTTTTCAATACAAAATAGGCATAACATTTCAAAGAAAACTGCTTAAATCCTTCACCAATGAGCCTTCATTCTCCTCAAGGTCTGAACATGTGTCCATGCGCTTGTCAGTGCTGCACTTGGAATGTTACTTACAAAAGCTGCATAAATCAGAAACCATTAAATGTCAAACAAAAATGCAAAAAAGAAAACATCATTTAACAATAACAAACCAACCAACCAAAAACCCAACCATAACCCAATACATTACACATTATATGTGGGTCATTCCATTTTTATGTCAGGAAACAAAAAATTAATAGTCAGAGATTTACGGAAAAAAAAACATTTTACTCAATGTATGTACAACAGAATCTACCATTGGGAGAAAAATAACAAATGTCTACTGTAATCTACAAGATATTGAACAAGTTAAATTTAAACACAAGTATTCTCAAACTCTCAAAATTAATTCAGGCCTTTGAGTCAATTTTGTCTGAACTTACCACGTGCTCTGTTGAACCTTCAGTATCTTCTGGAGTCAACTGTCTAGCAGCTTCACATGAAATGTCATTATTTTCTTCCTCTGTTTTGATTAGTTCAACTCCAGATATCTGTATCTCGTTCTTGGCATTGTACGATTCACTATCACACAAGTCCCCCACTTCTACAGGCGTTTTTTTAAAATCTGGAAGAGTATCCATGTACATGGACACTTGGTTTTGCATATCTTTTTCACCACAACTCAATGGCAGCATATCATCAGTGCAATATTTGCCAATATTTTCTTGTAGAACTTCGGAAATTGGAGACCTGCCTTGCATTTCAACAAGTGATGTATTTGGTTTAGCATTCGCATCATTTGCTGATGAAGAAAACACCACATGTGGGGCTGTTACACCAGAAAGCAAAGGACAAAACTTACCCTCTTCCTCTTCAGAGGTTAATGCAATAAAATCACTTATTTCTGATTTAACTACTGATCGGTCAATGTCCAACTCAGTAGTTTTGCTAGATTCCAAAGAAATGGGAGGAACCGTTTCTAACTTTGGGCTCTCTATAATATCCTCATTTAGAATTTCAGATGGTAGAATACCTAAGGGTTCATGTTCCATTTCAATATCCCCCAGACTGAAATTGATGGAGTCTAATTCCATACCAGCTTTCATTCTGTGAGTGTCAGATGGCTTTATTTCATCAGATTTTGGAGAGTCTTTCTCATTGTCTATATTTAAATTCAGAGTAAGGGCTGTAGACTGATGAAAGCCAACTGCTGAGTAAGTGGAATTCAAGTCAAAGTCACCAACTGCTGGTGTATTTAAGACTCCAGTGTTAATCTCGGTGAAGGTAAGGGTTTCATCTCCAAGAGGCGCAACACTAATTTCTGTTGAAAGAGCATCTAATGATTCTTGGACTGAATGAACATTGGGAGAACTCACATTTTCTGTTTCTGCTACACTAGTCTCTCCATTGTCATTTAATTCCATGTCAGAGCTTAAAGTTTCATACGTGTCATTTTTAATAAACATTAATCTTACACTGGAACTAGGTACAACATCATTCGTTGAAGAAATGCTCCTCAAAACCTCCTCACTTTGAAGACACTTGCCTTCACCACTGAATGGCTGTTGATTTATTTCTTCATGTTTCTCGAGTGCATTACTTATCAATGATACATTAGTAAGGCATTCATTTGGTATCTTTCCTAATTCTGGACCATCAACATCAAACCTCTTACCATCCTTTGGTTGAGAACTAACCAACAATTCTTGTTCACTGTTAGAATAGAAAGAATCTGGGTCGCCTTTATTTAAAAGATTACATTCTGTATCTAAGCTTTCAATCTCAGAAGTCTGAGGAATTTCATCACTGGCTGTTGCTGATTCAAGTTTATCAAATCTCACAGTATCTACTTTTAGATTAAGTAATGGTTCTTTAGAAAAAGTGTGATCTGTTACTACGCTTTGAAGGTCTTTCTCATTCTCTTTCAAACATGAATTCCTGGCCAGTTCATTTTGAACATCTGAAACTGAAGTGGAAGCCATCATTTCAGAGGATCCAGCATTTTGCTTGTCTTCTACTCTAACAGATCCTTCTTTGTTAGCCTCAGTTTGCAGTTCAAATACCTTTGGACTGTCTCCCTGATTTGGTACAAAGGAATATTCTGCTGATTCTGGACCTCGTATTTCTGAATTTCTCTCATCTGAACTTGTCAAATCACTGTCATTATTTTCTAACTTGGTCTTATCACTACTTCCCATATTCTGCTGGTCTTGCAGCTTCCCATCAGTGTCTTTACCATGTGTTACATCAGCATATCTCATTATAGGTTTCTTATTAAAATCAGTGTATTTTTCTGGCAATTGTACTGTTGACTCTTTATCATTAGACGAACTAAATTCCTCCATCTCAAATTCTGTTGTTTTCATGACAGCATCTTCTAAAGGAGCAAGCCTGCGTTCTGACAGTGGCATAGCAAAATTATCTGCAAATTTAAACTCTACAGACTCAGGTACCAGAGGATTCTTGGGAAGTTCTTCCAAAGTAGTAGCATCACTATCTGGCAATGGCACTGCCAATTCTGCTACTTCAAGCTCTGATTGCTTCTTGCTCAAGTCTTCTGCCACAGCAACAGTGTTTTCTAACAATTGTATTCCTAACTCTTTATCATCAGGACACTTAAACTCTGCTGTCTCAAGCTCTGGTGGCTTCTTGTTATCACATTCCAAAGAAGCATTGCTTTCTGAAAATTGCTTAACTATTTCTGATGTCTCACATTTTAATGACCTCATGCTAACATCTTCTACAGGTGCAATGTTTTCTGATAACTGTATGGCAAACTTGCTATCTTTATATTCAAATTCTGGTTTCTCAATGTCTAATGGTTTGCTCAAATTAACTTCCAAAACAGAAGTCTTGCTTTCTGAAAATGATGTTTCTATTTCTGATGTCTCACATCCCAATGACTTCATGTTAGCATTTTCCACAGGTGTAGCAACATTTTCTAGCAACTGTATGGTTAACTTATCATCAGGATATTGACATTCAGCTACCTTGAGCTCTGATGACATTTTATTATCAATCAAAGGCGAAACACTGCTTTCTGTAGATTCCATGGCTACTTCCAATGTCTCACGTTTTAATGGCTTCATGTTAATGCCTTCTACAGGTCCAATTGTGCCTTCTGACAACTGCATAGTCAATGTGTTACCATCAGAAGATTCAGGCACTGTTTTTGCAAGCTCTGGTGGCTTTTTGCTATCACTTGCCAAAACAGGAGTATTGTTTTCTGACACCTGTGCAACAAATTTTGCTTTTTCAGGCTGGGGTGACTTCTTGCTAGAGTCAGTTAGAGTACAAGCTCCCATCACTATGTCCTTCTGAAAGGAAAGAGAGTCACTTGCTGGGATAACATTATATTCTGAAGCTTCCTTATTCCCTAATATAGACTGTGTGTCTGAAAAGGGGGTATTGTCTGATTTCTGATCAATGCTAGGACTTTCTTCACAGACTGTCAACACTTCCTCAGTTTTTAGTTTCTCTTTTTGTAATGCCCCTCCATCTAAGGGGTTTTTGGGATCGCTTGAAGAGCTGCAAACATTATGGGAAGACTGTTGCCCTGAAGAGTTGTCTCCTGCTTTGGAATCTGCCAGCAGGTCAATTCTTTTCTCTTTCTCAGCAGAATTAAATTTCCCTTTATCTGCATTTGATGAATTAATAAGCTTGCTATCAGCTGGACTCCTCACAGTGCTGTTGTAGAAGACGTCATATAAGTCTTGAGCATTGCCTGCTGCCAAGGAAGTATTCTTTTTTTCTAATTTTTGGACATGGTTCCTAAAAATATTTGGAGGTGGTAAAGGGCGAGCACACATGGGCATTGCCAGTATATTTTTATCATCTTCAGAAACACCAGGAGCCAAATCATCTGCCAAGATAACCGCCTGCTTTGGTGGTTGGAAGGATGGAAGGAGATATAATAGTGGAGATTGTATTTGTTGACTTAGTGGCCGTAGTGGTCCTGCTGGGAATGATAGAAAAGGACGATGCTGTTGTGCTCTTTCAAAAATTAAAGACTCATTTTTCTTTGCCATTCTTTTTTGTTTTGCAAATTCCTTGGCCTTTGCTTGAGCCAAAGCAGCTGCCTCCTCCAGTTGTGCTCTTATTGCCCTCATCTTTGTCTCTTCCAAACTCTTTGCATGTTCTATGGCCTTTTTCACACTTTCAAGCTCTTTGTCCTCTACTTGTTCTGCTGTCTTTGCATTTTCTTGTGAACCTTTTAAGACAACTGATTCTCCCCCAAATGCTTTTGAAATGATATCTGGAGCTAGAACCATTTCTTGGTTCTCTTCTTTAACCAAAGGAAGTGGCTTGTTGCTGGTACCAGAAGATTTTATAGACAGAAAAGTGTTTAAAGGAGCTGGCTTATTTACTGTTGTAGTTGCAGACTTCCTAAGAACCATTGAGGGGACTGGCAAATTGGGTTTGATTTTTGCTTGGGATGAAGTTGAAACAACTGGTGTCCAGGAACTAGTGTGTGGGATAATGGTTTTCCCAGACAACCTAATTGCAATGGGCTTTGAATTTGATTTTCCAGACTGGGACTTACTGTCTTTATCTTTGCTTTCCTCTGTACTTTCTTCCTTTAAAAGATCCACATCTTTAACTTGATTTTTTTCCTCTTTTTCAGTCTTTCTCCAGCTGAACTTTCCAAAAGACGATACCTTTGATTCCTGTGGAGAGTCCTCTTTTTTTCTTTCCTTCTTCTCAATTTCTTTGTCATCCTTCTTTAATCTAAGCTTAGCTCCACTTTTTTGGCCACTAGGAACTTCTCTCTTTTTATTAGCATCACATTCATTGTCTCCATCTCCTAGATCATTGACACTCTTTGGTTCCTCTTTCCTTGGTGTTTTTGCTGTTTTTTCATAATTTTCTTCCTTTTGTTTTTCACTCTGTTTCCGTTTCAGTCTGCGTTCTGTTTCTTGAATCACAGACAATCCTGCTTGACGATCCAGGTTCCTTCTTTCTTCATAGAGTGGATTCTCTTCAATATGTTTCTGTAGGAAGAAGGAAGAAATCTCAGCTCTAATATTTCATAACGAATTTCATTGGAGGAACAGATATGCCTTATATAATAGTTCCTCCTTCCTATCTTCTTCCCAGGTAATTGCAAACATGGGGCAGGGAGACAGGCAGAGCATGTTCAAGACCACCGAGCTTCAGAATCCCAACACAAGAGAAAAAGTTTAAATTTTCTGTACTCCTTCTAAATCAAGTAAAAGGTGAGAGGAGTCATTCAAGTAAATTGAGATTATAAAAATCCTGCCATAATGAATGTATGGGAATTTCAGCAGTTACTTTACATCGAGTCAAATTACTGGGCTGACTGGCTTTACCTCTTGAAGGTGAAATGTTATTCTCCCCCATCATTATCCAAAAATAATTCCAAGGACAGACACAGGCCCTTCGGTATGTAGACCATGCCCTCTATTCTTGAGTTAGGGCCACCCCTCAGCTACTTCAGAAGTAAAGATCAAGAAACTAAACCTACACATTATTCATCATGGATAAAAGTTCTCAAACTTTTTCAGCCATGGAGCCCTTTTAGAAGCAAACGTTTCTCCTGGAGCCCCAAAAATGTTTATATATAATATAATATAATATAATATAATATAATATAATATAATATAATATAATATAATATAATATAATATAATATATTATATATAATGTACGTATATCAGGCATGGACAAACTTTTGGACACAGGGGCCACATTGCGTTTTAAAATTTGACAGAAGGGCCAGGCCAGTGGCAGATGGATATCTGAGTCCCCTTCGGGGTGAGAAGGGCGGCATATACATGTTGTAAATAAAATAAATTTGTGTGAAATAATAATAATAATAATAATAATAGGAACCCCAGGGGCCATCCAGTTCAATTCCCTTCTGCCATGCAAGAAAAGCACAATCAAAGCACCCCCTGAGTGGTGGGAGAAAAAAAAGTGTTTTGGTAGTAAAGAAGGCAGGGGGAAGGGTCTGGGCAGCAAGGAAAAGAGTCTGGGGTGATGAGGGAGGTGGGGGAGAAAGGGTCTGTGCCCTGGGGGGGAGGGGGTTATGATGCTGTTTTGGCAGCTCAAAACTTTGATTTCCCTGCATTTCTCAGGAGGAGGAGGAAATAGGAGGCGGGAAACAGCATGGTGCCGTGGTGCTCCTCACTATCACTCCCAGAGCCCCAAGAGCTCCACAGAGCACAGTTTGAGAACTTCTGTTCTAACTCAACCATTCTTCAAAATGGAGATTGTGATCAAGAAATCAGAACCAATCAAGGAACTGAAAAGGCAGCTATCTGTCTATATCATTAATACTAAAGTCTGAATCAGTATCTCTCATTTGGATACAAAGTTTGGGAAGATGGACAGTGAAGGAAGTTGACAGGAAGGGAATCAACTCATTTAAAATGTGTTGCTGTCCATGTGTACCATGGACTGCCAGAAAGGACAAATAAAAGGATTCAAGGGGAAATGAAGGCTGAACCATGGACTGCGAGAAAGAACAAATAAAAGGATTCAAGGAGAAATCTTTGTTAGAAGTGAAAGCAAGTAAACTCAGGCTATAATACTTTGGACATATGAGATTATTTATTTGTTTATTTGCACTATTTATATACCACTCTTCTCAACCTCAAAGGGGACTCAGGGCGGTTCACAGATTTGGCAACAATTCAATGCCATTGATAAAAAATAGTATAAAACATCAGAATTGACCCTCCCCTGATAAAACATTAAACATTATTAAACACATCACATAAAGTAATGTGATTCACTGTAAAGAAATGACATAATTCACTGCAAAGACAATAATGTTGCCAAACTGTAAGCCACTCTGAGTCCTTTTCAAAGTCAGATAGAATGGGGTACAAATATATTGTAAATAAAAAATACTAATAATGAGAAAGAAGAAGGCAGCAGTAAAAGAGTAATCTCACTACAGATGGATTGATTCTACCATGGAAGCCACAGCAGAACTTTTGATGATGAGGTGTTTGGTGGTCTCTCATTCATAAAGGTACAAGTTGAACTAGCAGCAAACAAAACAACAACAATTTCAGATATATACCATATATTTTTCATTATGTGGGTGACTTTTCACATGTTGTTCTGCAGATATCTGGTCTCCAAAAAATTCATGGCAGAGCTGGCAGTAATATCCAGTGATTGGGATTAGAAATTCAGAACCTGAAATATGCCCCCCCCCCCCAAAAAAAAAGAATGAGTCACATAAATAGATCACAAGAAATTCTGCAAATTTTAGCAAAAACAATTGCAACAAAAGAATATAAATAAATAAATTTTTTAGCTGTACATTCCACAGGTGGCATTTGGGACTGAAAAAAATGATCTGAAGACTGCAAGTATGGAACACATTTGTTCAACACTCCCTCTCAGAACATTATTACAACATTGTTCATGGTGGAAGGAGGAATTACTATTTTCAATCCTCTGATACCTCAGATAAAACAATGACTGACGTTTGAAATAAATAAGAAGATAATGATTTGGCATAATTATTACATAGAATTACACTATGTTTTGAGCAGCTGAAGTTACAAAAAACCCAACATACCTTTAGCAGGAACAGGTATTTTGTCGATGCGCTTTGTAACATCCTGCTTTGATTCATTTTCAATCTTTGAAGCCCATGGTCTGTTGTATGGGTCCAGGGTCTATTTGAAGAGTGATAGAAGCATTCATGTTGATATATTAGTAAAAAGTTTGTTTTAGTCAAAATTTAAGATCGTTTAAAAAATGCTCAAAAATTTAAACTACAGAAGCTACAGTAATTTCATTATTTTTCTCCTTTTCTACCTTACCTGCAAAAAACCCCATACTTCCAAAATGCTTTTGGAAAGTTTTTTTTTAAAAAATTAAGTCAAATAGGGACACACTCTACTTTCTCATACATTGCCAATCAAGCTAAAATAAAGCTGTAATTCAAAAACTGACTTAGACATAACATAATCAAGAATTTGTTTCAACTATACAAAACTGTATGAAAAGATTGAGCATAAGCAATGATTCCCAAAAGGAATTTGTGCCCGATGATTCAAGAACCAGTGATTTTGCACATAACATCATTGTGTGCAAAATGGTTATGGTTATTTTTTCCCCAGACACTGACTGTTATAAAATGCTCATATGAACAACTGAATCTACATGCCCAAACAAATCTACATGCCCAAACGAAACAGTCAAAACTTTACAAATGTGTTCTGAAAGAAGCAGCTTGATCTTTGTGGAACTTGTTGACACCTATTTTTGTCTTACAATGGAAACAAAAACTCCAAATGAACATAAAAATGCATCACATACCTGCCTGTGCTTCTTATTATGCATATGTGTGAAGAAATCAAACATGGTCCCACAGATGGTATTGCAATCCTTGCACCAATGATTCCCTGTATCATAATAGTCATAAATACTGTTTGCCTGGAGATGCTGCTTTGATGGCTGTGAAGAGGATTCTGTAGATTTGGGGCTTTTAGACTGGGGCTTCTCATTGGATGTTTTTGATTCCTAAATAGAACAAAAGGGAACGTTTCTGAGGCCCCATCTACACATGCTATAACATTCAGAATGATGTGAATTATAAGGAGAGGTGGTTTGAAAACGCACATCCCTAATGCATGCTACAACTCACATCTGCTTGGAAAACACCTGTTAAAAAAGTCTGGAGGATAAAATGCACTGCAGCTGACCAGTATGTGGATGCTTGTGATGGAGAACATTTTGAGACTCCTGAGGCGGATGCATTCACTGATGATTTAGAAAGGATTGTGGGATTGCCTGTGGGATTTCCTGGGCCTCAAAGTGATGAAGATTCAAGTTAGGGGAATGATACACATCTCTGTGAGAATTCTGACTCAGAAAATAAGGGGTTCAAGGTCAATCAGAGGAGCCAGAAACGGCAACATTAGATAAGGAGTTGGGCGAGGAGATAAGTGATACAGAAGGCTCGCAGGAGAAACACCTGAAGTTACACAGATCAACAAACATATTTGTTTACACATCAGAGTATAGTATAACCAAATGATGATTGTAGGCATCATAGGTCTGAGCATTTACATGGGAAAGTTGGGGAGAGATTTTGTGGGGGAAAACATGACTTCATGGGTGTCTATTAATTAACAAGTTGTTTATCTAAGAGTTAGTTTAGGCAATGCAAAGTTCAAGTGTGAAGCCAGCCTGAGTCCTCACAACCTCTGAGGATGCCTGCCATAGATGCAGGAGAGAATGCTTTTAGAACATGGCCATATCGCCTGAAAAACCTACAACTCACTAATTAAATATTTCGAGGGGTAAGACTACCAGGTTTCCAGGTCCCATCTTTTCAACCTCGGATGATTGTAGGGCATATGGCAGACATAATATATTTTAGTGTTTCTGTCCATTCTTTATTCCTCTCATTTATCTTTATTGTGAGGGACAGAAATTGGGCTTTATTCCAATATAATTTTGCCCTATTATTTCTTCTTATTACTTCTCTGATTGTGTTGTAATATTTTTGGATTTCAATACAATCCCACCACATATGTGAAAATGTACCAATCTCCCCGTACTTATGCCAGAATTTATTAAAAATGTTTCCCATAATGTTTGCCAATTGTAAAGGGTTCTATATTATTTTGTAATTATTTTCCGTCGTGTTTCTTTTATTCTTAGGTGTTTAATTTTTTGGGTTTTGTCAATCCAAGACCTGAATAAATTCTCATTAAAGTGTATGTCTTGTTTCCAAGTTTTTACTAAGGTGTGTTTTGTCTTATAGGATAAGACTGTAGTAAATTACTACATTTGTAGAAATTTATAAACTGATTAAAATCTAATCTACAGATATGTTCTGAATTTCTTGTACTCCATAGAAAGTAAACAGATAACTCCTTTTAAATGCAGATAACTCCTTTTAAAAGCAAAGGTCCTCATATCCATTTGCAATAATAATGTGAAACACAAGTATTTTTTTAAGCAAATGGTGATAGATGGCTACTCATACTATATGTTTTTCCTCAAGTGACTACATCAGTTAGCATCAACATTTAAATTTTTTTACCTTGACTGAGCCAGAAGTTCTCTCCTGATTTTTTGCATTTTCTGACTTGTTTTTTTCTGAAGGGTCTTTATTTTCTGAAGATAACTTTCGGGATTTCTCTGAGATATTAATCCCCAGGATCTGAGCTACCTTGTCGAGTTCAGATTGTTTTTTCTCTGCAGCATCAGCGTTCATCTTCAGTTGATCAATCTCCTTCATGATGTTTTCTTGTAGTCTGTTTACTTCCACTAGCAAAGGGTCTTTGTGTCCATCTTTTTCCCTGCGTTTCTTCCGCAGCATTTCTCCTGAGCCAGTGAACGCGATGAATAAGGAACACAAAAACATGTTAACACATACTAAACCATCTCAGATAATTAAAATATGATACACCATAGTTTAGCCCAAAAACCAGAACTTTTGTGTGTGCTACCTCATACAAACCTGGCAATGAGCTGCCTACAGTGATACTACATCTATCCTATTTACTTTCCTATTAACAATACTATACTGAAATACATGAGACGGAAAAAAATCCCCTTTTTCTAGTACCAAGTACCATAACTAAAGCATATCCAGGGGAAAGGGGGAGGGAAATATAAAATGAGTAAAAGCATTACCTTGCTGCTTTGAGAGTCTATTTAACTCAGTCCTAAGATAATGCAGCTTCTTTTGTCGTGCCTCTTGTTCTGCCTTCAACTTCTCCCTTTCCTCTATTACCTAGATTTTTGTAAGACAATAGGGGCATTAAGATTGACCCTTTTCACCAACCATTGCAAAGCAACTTTGCAAGGATCACAGCATTTTCTTGAATTCAAGTTTCAATTATCACTTTAAAATTCTATGAATGGATGCAAATTTAGTTGCTCTTAAAACAGCTTATTTCATAGATGTTGTATGTGCATTTATTTTTCAATCTAAATGAAAGTACCATAGGATCTTCCACTGACAAATCTTTTAATATGTATTAAAAACATTTTGAAACCTGGAAGAGGAGGAGGAGGAGAGAAGACTACAAGCTAACACAGCATGCTTAAGAATATGTAACTATGTGGGACTATAGTTATTATAATAACCATTTTAAGCATTATTAAAGTGGGAAATACTTTATTGTTTCCTACTGAATTTTGACTTTTGATTTCTTATTTATAAAAATTTCCTCTTCTCTTCAAATGAAGCCATCACACCCAAAAAAGTAACAATATATCACAGAAATACGCATTAGAATTTCAATACAGGCTTGCTAATTCAGCCTACACACGACACATTGGTTTCAATTTTAAAAAAATTTGAACTGAGTAGAACGATGGTTAGAGATGTAAAAATATAATTAAAATGTGATCAATGTATTGCTGTTGTACTACTGAATAACAGTTAAGTACCCTAAAATATTTGGGGAACATACTACACCATGTAAAACACTGTACAACTTTTTCAAGAAAAGCAGAATAGATCTGAAATTACTGTAATATGGTTACCATATAAAGGAACGTAATTTTAACTGTTAATGTCTTGCATATTTTATGTATCATACAAGACAGGCTAGGTATATAAATGCAAGATGGTAAGACTGAAAAACAAACACAGATATTCAGCATGTTTACATGTTTAGAATACGTGAAGCAAATATTTCTCAACACACACAAAAGATTAAAATACTCACTTTTTGCTTCTGAGAAGCCCGATTTCTTTCATCAGATATTCTTTCCTTGACAGTTTTGAAAGAAGGCTGAGAGGACTGAGGCAGCATTTTGGAGTAAGAAGTGGCAGTAGGGATTTGCACAAGCACAGACTCATCTCTCCTCATATCAGGAGTCCCTTTGGTCGTGGAAACTGTCTCAATAACCCTAAGGTTGGGTCGTGAAGAATTTGGTGGTGCTGTCAGTGTAACAAGCCCATGTACGTCAGAATGTGCGGGTTCAGCCTGAGCCTGCTGAGGATACATGGACCAGCCAGAAGCTGCATAAGCCATATAGTGCCCATATGCATCATAGCCAGGAGGTGGCATTGTAGGAGACGGATAGTTTTGAGATAACTGAGTTGGAGTGAATGGTGGAAAGCGCGAAACATTATACTGGGAAACAGAGTTAGAAGGAGACAAATTAGGAAGAGATGGTGGAGCTGATGGAATTACTGGTACTGGGGGAATTGAATGCTCCAATGTACCAGCAAGATTATCCTGTCCTTTAATTTTAGTGTGATCAGATACTGAAACAGAGGACAAATCTTTAGATGGTGGGAAAGAGCTAGAAGGTGAAAGGGAACACTTTTGACTTGGCTCTGGAGAATGAGTATTGCTTCTACTGTGGTGCCTTTCCCGAAATTCTGGTTTATGAGAAGCTACTGAATAGCAATCAGGAGATATCTTTTTCCCATGGAGTCGTTCCTGAGTGCGAGCGGCTAGCTTGCCAATTTCAGCCACTCCTATCTCAAGACCAATAGTTTTGAGCAAGTCATGAATCTTCTCGTATTCTGGCCGAGATTCTTCTGAAGTGTCTGGCTTCACTGCTGGACTAAGAGGAGGTGGAAAACGAACTTTTGGCTGTACAGGCTCTTTACCATCAATCGCTGTTAGCTTTTGAGTACTGGCGGAAGTAATGTAGGAGTCCTCCTCCTCATCATCATCATCATCACCACCATAAAGAAATTTCTCCTCATTCTCAATGTCATCAGGGAAGCTGCGCGTTCTTTTTTCTTGAGTACTGGTAGAATCTGCCATCATGCTCAAAATGCGTGAGAAGCCACTCCCATCCTGGCTGGCTTTTTCATGAGGGAGTAAGAAGTCAGACTGTGGGTCAGCAGGCTCCAAAGCTGACTCGTGATGGTCTTTCTGTGATAAAAAACTCCCCGAGTTCTGTTCGAATGCAGAAGCATTTTGTTGTTGCTTAGAGAGGGGTTGCCAGTCATGCAAAGATCCCTGAGAAGTCTTATTAGCAGCAGACTCTGCAACTGCATTTTTGTTGAACTGTTTGAGGAAATTCTCCACTTCCAGCGCAAATGCAGGAATGCTGCTATGCTGCGGTAAAGGAGGATTTGAAAGAAATGGAGGCTCTTTGACAGAACTGCTAGGAAAGACTTCAGGCTACAAGGGAAAAAAACCATCATTTTTTCATTTCATTCTGTAACAAGCGTAATCAATATTATAATCCATAAGACCGAATTTTTTTTATAACAAAGTTACAAGCATTAACAGAAAACTCTAAGAAGAGAGAAGCAGTACTGAACAAGACACAGAAGTTCCCAAATATCAAGATAGCACTTTGTCAATCTGTAAACATTTTAGAATTAAGGCATATTTTATACCAGAATATTCTTAAGCAAGCATTCAACTTTCTTAGCATTCTCTAATGTCTATGAATTAAGAGTTTTGAAAACTGTATGTGAAATAAATTGAACTAAACTTGTGTTCACTGTAAAAACTATATAAAAACTGATGTAAATGTCTGTCAATGATATGTAGCTAAACCTGAGAGAACTGTACTACAAAAACTTTTAAAGAATAGAACTTTTAAAAAGTAAAATGGCCTCAATAGGGAGGACAATTTGCTAAGGACATTTCAGAGATTAAAGAACATATAATTAAATATTTAGATTTTAGCAAGATGGGGAAGAAAACATTTCAAACCTGCAGAGACGGTTCTTCCACACGTTTCTTTAAGATAGATTTTTTAGGCATTGTTGGTGCATCATCAGGTCTATAAAGGTATCGGGGTTCAGAAGACTGCACAGGATTACTTGAGCTAGGCATCGTGTACCCATTGCCAGGCAGTTCCCGAATCAAATTTGTGCTCAGCTCCTCCTTTTCTTTTCTTCTCCTAACACTTTCAAGCTCATGGAAATACTTGTCTATATATGATGGACTTGGGCTTCTACTAAAACTTCGTTTACGGTAGTTTCGCATGCCTGGTACAAAACCTTGAGTCTTTACACTTGCATCAGGCAGGTTGTCATCTCTATCATATCGGTGGTGCTTTGTCTCTCTTCCTCTATCTCCTGATGAATATAAAGACTTTCTAAGCATTTCACCATCTCGATCAGTTTCTCTGTGCTTATCCTGTACATGGTCATAGTTTATGCCATAGCCCGTTTGGTGGACAAAAACATCCCTACTGTGATAATCCTCATCATGTCTCGTATGAAAAGGACTAGAAAGATTTTCTTCATGAGAGGGATATCGCTCAAGGCTTTGAGAACGTGAAAGACTCCTGCTAAATATTGGACCATCAGCCAAGTCATCCCTGATGAGAGAAGCACATGTTACAGTATCAGCAAGGTGATATTAACATCCCCTAACCTCAGGCTGGCAAACAATGTTCTGCTCTTAACGAGCCAGTATTTCTGGCTTTGTATTAAAGCAAAACTGGTTCTGTAAGGTTTTGCCTCTTCAGCAATAGTTTCATCTGACCCCACTGAAAATATGTTGGTTTCAGGAAAATAGAACAACTTATCTCGTAAGTTGTTTATGAGTCTAAAAACTTACGCAATAGGAAAAGGAGACGAAGTCAATAAATTGAAATCCATTAATGGATGTCTGAATCTACATAATATTTTCATTTATCATAGGTAGAAAAGACGTTATCTCCTAACTATTTCATTTTTGTACTGACCTAAATTTGGGGTTTTTTGTCTTTGTACAATTTTCTAGGGAGATAATCTTTTCTCAAGAAGAAAACATCATTTTACGTAACATGGTAACTTACATGTTTTCAGTACAATGAAGTTTCCCAAGTTGCTTCTGACATGATAAAAAAGTACAATGAAGTGAGATTTCTTTCTCTTCCCAGCTACAATGCTAAAGCTCCAATAGCAAACTTCTTAAATGTAGATGAGATACTTCACACTTCCAACATTTTAACTGTCCAATCCACAAAGAACTAAACTAACAATGTACGTTCATGACACCACAAATTGGACAGTTATAAAAATGTCCCAAAATTTTACTCACTTGCCACTGTAATTTTTTCCTATTGGCAAACAAAATAAAAACAAGTCATCATAACGACTGAGGCAAAAAATTTCCAACATATCTAATAGTTTTTGCCAATGAAATATTTTTTGTCTAAACCGATGTAATGTATTAGGACCAAAAATGTTCTGTGCCATTTTTATTATTTACAGCAATGCAAAGAATCTGGTGTGAGTGCTGAACTGGAAAACAACACCTCACCATGCCCGAACTGATAAAAATTTTCCCAAATGGTATCCAAGAATCCTCCCACCTGTATAAAAAGGATATTGTTCCTAAGGTAGCGATTTGTCTAGTTTGTCAAATAAGATATGCAATCAGATTTTTTTGCTGCCTAGACAAAGAAGATTTCCAGAAATAGACAAACCGTTAAGAGAATAACTGTTTTGCTCTGCTCTGGATGCTAAGCACATTTCCAATGATTCATAGTGGGGTAGGTAGGACAATCCATTCACATCCATAGAAGCAGAGAAGAAGGGTGGAGGAAAGCAGACTCCGCACACCTGGCCATAACTGTTTTTGTGGTTTGTGTTTCACAGTTATTTGTCAGTCAGCTGAAAGCACTGTATTTACAACAGATCTTTAAGATTAACCCTATGAGCAAGCACTTCACACTCAGGGATGAGGATACTTTCTTCCTTAGTCAAAATTTCTCAAACACCAAGACAATATTTCATCAAAACATCTGTCAAGTACAAGAACAACTGAGGACAAGCCTCTGGAAATGTCCTTAGATACCTATGGAAGAAAAAGGTCCAACGGCTGTGTGTATACATGGCAGAAGATCTATATGTAGGAGGGCAGTAACAGCACAATGTCCACAGAAAACCAAGTGCAAACACTAAAATTGTGAAAGTCCCCAGGGCAAGCATCTACAAACAGTTCACAGTAGAGCAGTCAGTAAATATGATAGACACTGTACGTTATGTGAGTCCAGAGCTATCTTGAGTGGAAGCCTACTGTTCTTGAATGGAAGAGAATCAATCAATCTTAGAAATAAATTGATCCATTCTGTGATATAACAAATATGTGACATGCCAAATTTGAGCCAGACCATAAAGGGTTGCAATAGATCTGGGTAATGAACATGAGCGTTCATTTCTACAGCTATATCAAGAGAATGCCCCTACTCCTATAGTAGGACAACAGCTATGAAAACCAAGAAGTGTTTCACATGCAAAAAATCTGCCTCAGAAAGGGCATGACTGATATATACATTGGAAAAAATAATAGCTCTTCACTGGGAACACTGTGTAAGAAGACTATTTTACTATCACTTTATTATTTAAAGGTACCATAAGAAAATATTATTTCTTTCTACATGACAACTGCTGTTTTCCTTCAAGATGGGATAAAATGAGGTGTTTGAAACTGAAAATAATATTTGCTTTTTAATTCCTAGTCATATTATATGCAAAAAGGGAGGACAAACAACTGCTGGAAACAAATGTTCTTCTTCAAATGAATATTTTTTGCCTCTGTGTATTTGGCTATTATGGAATACACTTGCTTCTGCATGTAGCACATCCTTGGATTGGGCGCCTTTATGTCCTTCAACATTGGAATTCTTATTGGAGTCAGAAGATATACTAAAACTCATACAACATGTGGGATTTTGTTGTTATTTTAATCCGGGTATATGAGGGTTAAATAATTTTCACATGCATGATACTTTCTTCTTTACCTAAGAATTACCTGAATTTTGTAACTCATGATATGTTTTCCGACAAAAAAGAGTTTATGTTTTTAAAATCACCACATTCATCTTGCTGAACTCATTCCAAATATTCTTGTTTTGTGACAGCTCCATGATTTTGAATATTTCTATGCAATCTAACATCTAGAAGACATTATGAAGCCAAATACAGGCCGTTCCCGAGTTACAAACATCCGACTTACAAATGACTCATAGTTACAAACAGGGGTGAGACAACAGGAAGTGAGAGAAATCTACACCTTGGAAGGGAGATTCACTCCTGAAAGAGTTATCATGGGGGAAAAGGTCTCTCCATGAAAACTTTCTATCCAATCCTTGTTTCCATAACAAGCCACATTTTTTCAAAATCCAGTTATCACAGGGACAGAAAGTAAGGTGAAACCTTCTGAACAGGGGCACAGACAGTAAAACAAACACCACAGGGATGTTAACCCCTCTATGCGATATAAAGCTAATATATATATTTGGCTGGAGTTACACTTAAAATGCAGTTGTAACTGTTCCAACTTACAAACAAATTCAACCTAAGAACAAACCTACAGAACATATTCTGATTGTAAGTGTATCCAAGTATAAAAATACTTTCCTTATCATTTCCATGTTTAATAGTAGAGCAAAACTGTATGTATTCATTTAGCCTACAGTTTTTATTTTCTAAATTTAAAACAATTTAAAGACATAAATGTACATTTTTCCTAAAAATAATCAAATGGACATCAAGTGCCTAGTTTGAAGAAAGTCAACAAAGCCATCAGCCAATTAAAACATAACAAAGCCAATGGATCTCATGGGATCTCTGCTGAAATCTTTGACGAGGGCGGTGGACCTGTACAACTCAACCAGATTACTGAAAAAGTGTGGGTAACCAAGAAAATCCCAGCAGACTACAAGGACACCATCATCACCCTTTTCAAAAAGGGGGAAAGAACAGATTGTGGAAACTATCAAGGTATCTCCCTTCTAACCTCCACTAGGAAAATCCTTGCAAGAACCCTTGCAAACCGCCTTCTACCTATTTCAGAAGACATCTTCCCAGAATAGCTTCCACCCCTCCTGAGGAACAGTGGATATGATCCTCACTTCACAACAGCTTCAAGAAAAATGCAGAGAACAAAATCAACCTCTGTACATGGCATTCATTGACCTTGCAAAGGGATTTGACACAAGTACAGCTTAATGTATAATGTTGGAAAATGTTGGTTGTTTCTGCTACTTTGGCAGCCACATCCCCACAAAAGTTAATATTGACAATGAAATACAGGGTGAGGCAGCATAACTTCCTTTTTTCAAAACTTAATAAAACCCATTATATGAATCAGAATTTTTTATTTTTTTATATAATGTAGACGCATACCTAAAGTTTTGTTTTACGTAGTTTTGAAGATCAAATTAGGTAGGTGACGTCCCCCATTCACCATACACTGAGTAAACTGATTTCTGGTGTTTGTCATGACTATTGCCAGCATAGCAAGTGTTATGTTGGCAATTTCTTCCTGGATGTTGGTCTTCAAATCTTGTAGAGTCTTTGGATAATTCACATAAACACAGGATTAAAAAAAAACCCATAGAAAAAAATCACAAGGGGCCAAATCTGGAGAGCGGGCCGGCCACTCCAAATCCGCTCAAAAAGTAGACCTCAACGGCAAAAGCACACTCCTCACAGTTCAGCCATGATGGTGGTTGAACTGTGTCAGGACAAAACTTTATACTCCCGCCTCTCGAACGAGACCACTAGCACTCTGCTATGTCTTCAACTAACTGAATGGCGCGCATTTTAAAAAAGGAAGTTATGCTGCCTCATCCTGTACAATACCATCTGAGGTCTGTGAGTGCAGCACATTTTGAATGAAAAAGGGAGTGTTTGGGGATCAGGACATCCGTAGGGGTACCAAGATGCTTTTGGTGGTATCTTTTCAGACAGCTATTGTTCTCCCAACCTTGTTATATGCCTGTGAAACGTGAACCGTCTACAGACATCACACCCAACTTTTGGAACAATTCCATTAGCGTTGCCTCCAAAAAAAATCCTGCCCATCTCTTGGGAAGACAGGTAGACAAATGTCAGCATGCTGGAAGAAGCAAAGATCACCAGTATTGATACGATGATCCTCCACCATCAACTTTGATGGACTGGTCATGTTATCCAAATGTCCGATTACTGTCTCCCAAAGCAGTTACTATACTCCCAACTCAAGAAGAGAAAATGGAATGTAAGTGGACAGGAAAAGAGATTTAAAGATGGGCTTAAAGCTAACCTTAAAAACTGTGGCATAGACACTGAGAACAAGGAAACCCTAGCCTTTCAGCATTCTGATTGAAGGTCAGCTGTTACCAACAGTGATGTGAAATTCGAAGAGGCACAAGTGGATGGTGAAAGGGAGAAAAGTGTCAAGAGGAAGGAGCATCAAGAAAACCCTTGTCGTGAACACCTAAATGTGCTCTAAATGTGATGAAAAGCATATTCATGTCAAGCCAATGTGATCTGTTGTATGCAAAGTTACAGACAGATTTTTCCCAGGACTTCATCACATACAAATATGCATAAATAAGCCACAGTTCACATACAGTGTTCTAAATATGAATGAATTGTTTTGAACCCAAGTCTCTCATGAGGTACACTGAGTAGGACAAAGGTGAAAAAGGAGAGCCAACAGTATATTCTGCTACTTGAGACTACAAATTAGCATTCTAGCATGGCACAAAAATACTTTATGTCCTGAAATATTCAGCCAAGACTTAAATCTTTATGTAAAAATAGACAAGCATATCCATATCATTACTATGAAATTTGCTTTCATCTGTAACTAAACTTATTTGTATACCAAAGGATTATTTTAAAATAAATTTATTTATGACTTTTCACTAAATGCTTAATTTGTATACTTATTTTATATACCCAGGGCCACATCAAATTTTCTCAAGTAAAAATAGAAAAAGTTTAAGAAGCCCTGCTCTAGTGTTGCAGAGGTACAAGTAATAGAATTATTTTTAATTAACTCTCATTGATGTAATGCCTGTTTATTCGGTAAACAAATACGACAAGAAGGAAAATACTAAGGATATAAAGAAATATATCTTCTTCTACTTATCTTAGGAAAGAAATATCAGAGAAACACTCTATGTTTCTGAACACATCTACAGGAGAAACTATCTTTGTTGGTATTTGAAGGATTGGAAACTTTGATTACCTCATGAATCAAATGACTGCCACTTAAATTCTGATCTTAAGCCTAGATTGTAGAATGTAATCTAACACTTCATTTTAATATTATAAAGTTTGAATGTGAATGTAATCATTTACACCAAGGATATGGGCATTATAAATATTTTGTACTCCATCGCTATCCACTCTGCCACCATAACCGATGATCTGGAATTATAGTATTTGTACCAAAAACATTTATACTACACTGCCTACTTCTGCTATACACACTTACCTTGATTTACATCCCATTGAATTCCATAGCAGTTCCATCTGGCACAGAAGTTCTCTTTAAGTTTAGCTTGGACTACTGCAATTAATAGATGCAGATGGGATGCAAAGAATACATACTAAGTGAAACAAGGTTAGCAACCATACCTAGGGGAATCCTTTTATTCTACAAATGTAGATTAAATTATGGTTAAATGTTCAATTGAGATCTGAGTTTTTGTGATTTAATTGTAAATGATAGTCCACTGTTAACAGAGCCTGAGATAAAAAAACCTCATTGTCCAAATTTATCATCAGAAAAAGAATATTGCCTTAGGATTCTACCAATGAATGTAGTACAGTAATACTAGCCCCAGTGGTACAATGGGTTAAACCCTTGTGCCGGCAGGACTGCTGACCGAAAGGTTGGCATTCGAATCTGGGAGAGCAGGGGAGCTCCCGTATGTCAGCTCTAGCTTCCCCTGCGAGGACATGAGAGAAGCCTCCCATAGGAAGGCAAAACATCTGGGCATCCCATGGGCAATGTCCTTGCAAACGGCCAATTCTCTCACAGCAGAAGCAACTTGCAGTTTCTCAAATCACTCCAGATATGAAACAAAACTACTGTCTTTAAGATGTAATACATGTGTGTGTTACTTATCTATCAGTATTATTATTATTATGCTTGCTTTCTTATCATGTTTCTCTCTGATGTCAGTTTAGGGATCTACATTTAAAAGCTATCTTTATTTTATACAGTAGAGTCTTGCTTATCCAACAAAAAACAGGCTGGCAAAACGTTGGATAAGCAAAAATGTTGGATAATAAGAAGGGATTAAGGAAAAGCCTATTAAACATTAATTTACATTATCCTTTTAGAAATTAAGCACCAAAACATCTTGTTTTACAACAAATCAGCAGAAAAAAGCAGTTCAATACATGGTAAGGTTATGTAGTAATTACTATATTTATGAATTTAGAACCAAAACATCGCAATGTACTAAAATAGCTATGGATCCGGGCAGGAGGCAGACTGCGTTGGATAATAGAGAACACTGGATGAGTGAAGGTTGGATAAGTGAGACTCTAGTGTAGTTATCTGGGAACTCCAATATGAATCAAATGGCAAATCTAAACATCTCTGATATGTATCTAGGATTCTTGATGTAAAATATGCAATGCCTTTTGCACACCATTTCCTTGTGTGTTTTATCAGCCAAATATTAATCAGGAAGTACATTTGATTAACAGAAGACCGTACCTGTCCACATCACTCAAACTATCAACTGGCGAGCCTAGTCTATCACATAGCCTCTTTCTTTCAGGTGTGTCAATGCCGTAACGGTCATTACCAACTGTGATTTGTAAGTTCTGTTCCACTGAAGATTCAGAGTGTCGACTTAGAGAGCGCTGTCCTGGAGAATGAGTACGCCGTCCCGGGGAACGGGAGCGGCGGCGTGGGGAGTGAGAGCGCCGTCTCGGGGAATGAGAGCGCCGTCCCGGGGAACGGGAGCGCCGTCCAGGGGAGCGAGAGCGCCGTCCCGGGGAGCGAGAGCACCGTCCTGGGGAGCGAGAGCGTCGTCCCGGGGAGCGAGAGTGCCGTCCTGGGGAGTATCTCTGTAATTGAAAAAAAAATACAATGGCATCACACCAAGCACCCTTTGAATCTAGACCAGACAGCAAAATTCATTCATGATTATTGAATATCTGATTACTAGGTTATATGAATTGTTTATAAAATAATTTTTACATTTTGCAGTTCGGCACCATCAACATCTATGTATAATTGGTGACCTCATGGGAGTTGTTGTTTGATGAGGTACCAGCATTCTTTGGCAGGGAAGGCTAAAGACCTTGTAAAACTGTAGTTTCTCAGGATTCCATACCATGGCAATTAAAGTGGTATCAGACGGCATTAATTCTATAGTGTAGATGCAACCCTAGAGAATACTAGACAGAACTTTGTCTAGGAATCTCCATGTCCTCTAGTGCAATTCTATGGTCAACATCTGGAAATATGTGACAACAGAGTTGCTCTAGAGGTCCTAGAAATTTCTTGGTATTCTCTCAGATTAAAAAAAAAGTTTATTAAAAAATTGTGGCTTTCCAACTTTTACAAGGGTCCTGCACCCCTAACTCCAGTGAAACAGGACAGCTACTGAACTCCTATTTAGTTCAGAAACTATTTCTAGGAACTGCAAGCATCTCGCCTCCCATTCCCCTTCACTTTCTCCCACACTCTGGTTTATAGGCTTACATACATTTTTGTGTGTTTTCATACACTACATATTTACTAAACACTTCATACAACAAAATCTTAAAGTACTGTTACAGGGAGCTTCAACATTTTGCCCATGAATAAAAGCCAAACAACATGGTACACGCATTATCTACAATAGCATGAGGTAAAGATCTGCTCACTCTATGCCCATGGAAATGACTGTCCCATAAAAAGACATGTAACTTTTTAGAATAGAGGTTGAAGTAGTTACCACTCCCTAAATTTCCCAGCCAAAGGAGGTCCTCGAAGATATAATCCAAATAAATAGCTTTTCCAAATTATCCTGCAGATAACTTTCATTGGCTTCAACTACATCAACTGCATGCCTGGTTATGTGCTGATTAAGAAAATCTAAATGACACAGGATGTTAATTCAGGTTATAAACACAGAGAGATTAAAAATACTTTAAATATTAATTTAGTTAGATTATGCATTATGCACACTAGGCTTTAAGATCTAGATTGATGACTCTCCAGACAAACACGTTACTGTTGTTATATGTAACTGGGGGTGGAATTCAAAACAAACACATACATACATAAGCTGCCAAATATTCTATTTATTTTTAAATCTGTGCATGCACCTGCATTTTGCATGACTAAATTAAAGCCAAAGTACAAATATCATCCAAAGCAACCTCAGTCAAAAGCCATTTTGAACTGAGGGAAGGGTGGATTTTTATTTTGAGAAAGTGAAATTTGTTTATCTGGAAATTGAACCAAGAGAAGGTAAACATCTGAGAGTGTCATAGAAACAATGTGAGGGAAGTAGAGACAGTGAGTTGAAGAACTTAGTTACAGTATATTCTGGCCTATAAGACTACTTTTTAACCCAAGAAAATCTTCTCAAAAGTCAGGGGTCGTCTTATACGCGGGTGTAGTCTTATGCATGGGTGTTGTCTTAACTCTATATTTTAACTGGAAAAGTTGGGGGTCGTCTTATACGCCCAGTCGTCTTATATGCCGGAATATACGGTAATTAAATGCAAGAAAATGCAACCTAGATTTTAAAAAAGCAATAATTTGTCTAGATTTGGGAAGACTTGAAATTGCTAAAAATGTATTTCAGGAAAATAGTTCAGCTTTTTCTTTGACAGATGACAACTGATTAAAAAAATTGAAACATGGTGAAAGTAGAGGAATTCACTAAATCTCAGAAGATGAAAACAAGAAAACCTGATTGAGAATGTGAGGACATAGCCCCAGGAAGTGTTTTGTTGAGGAAAAACAAGAAAATGGAGACTCAAAAGGGTTTTAGAGGGCAGATCCAGAAAGTGTTGGAATACTACTATAGTCACACGGAAGGCAAACCACACAACATTTTGAGGCAAAAGACATGAAAAAGTTTCTGAAAGAAAAAAATGGTTTAATGTGTGTTGGGTTTTTGGTAAGGGGGAGGCAGAAGAAAAGGTGGGGGGTTAAAATGGCTAAAATGGAGAGATATGATCTGTATGGAAAGATCTTTTCCTCTCCGTTTGGTGTTGACCCATGAAGGATTCTCAAGATGTGCAATTATGAGGCTTTGGAATATAATCAAGGGTAAGACTTAGAGAGGGGGCTAAGAAAGCAGGATTTGACTCTTCTGGTTTAAGATATCAACAGGGGATTCACTGACCTGATGATACCTCAAGATGCATCTACACTGCAGAATTCATACAGATTGACATCACTTTCACTATTGTGGCTCAATGCTATGAGATCATGAGAGTTAGTCTTCTCTGACAAAGAGTGCTGTCATCTTACCAAGTACAAATCAAAGGATTTCATAGCCTTAAGCCATGGTCAGAAAGGGCAAATAAAATAAAGTAAATAGATGCATGAAATTACTAAAAACATTAAAGAGATCTGTGCCTAATAGATTGAAAATTGTGACTTTTATATTAAGATGGGACATGGATATTAAGGTGGGGTGTGTAGACAGAAAAGAGAGACCTGATGTTATATTAGATGGCTATAAATTAGAAAATGAAAGAGGTACTGGGATTACTTTAATAAAGGCAGATATAGCTAAGATTTAACTTAGACTAGGGGGATTAATAATAGTTGAACATTATTATTAAACTTATTAATAATTTTTTATGATTTATAGAAATGTTAGATGGTGTCCCTGTATAATTATTTTATTTATTTATTTTATTTACTTTGTCTTTATCTTGCCATTCTTCAGATATAGGAACTTAAGGCAACCAACAATAAATAGGACATAATGCTAATCAAAGTAGTATGAACACATTAAAATATCTATACAAAAATGAAAAGCAATTACATTTTTCATGTCATTAAAACCATTACATATTCAAATATTTAAATGCATATAAACTCCACACCCATGTCAAAATTCCAATCATTCCTAGAAGCCCTATCCTCATCATCAACACCTGATGGCAGAGGTATGTTTTCACCTGTGAAATGCAAGCAGGGAGGGGGGCATTCTGGTTTCCTTGAGAAGGGAGTTCCAGAGGCAAGGGGCAGCCACCGAGAAGACCACCGAGCTTGTGACTGAGACAAGACAAGAAGGACTTCCCTGGAGGATCTCAGGACTTGGGGATGATTTATACCAAGAGATGCCTGGACCTGAGCATATAGGGGTTTACAGCTCATAACCAGCACTTTGAATTGTGCCCATAACAAACTGGCAGCCAGCACAATCACTGCAACAGGGTTGCCCGCTTCTTGTAACCAGCCAAAGTTAGCAATCTGGCTGCAGCTCTTTGGACCAGCTGAACTTTCTGAACACTCATCAAAGACAGCCTCAAGTAGAGCGTGTTACAGTAATTCAAACAGCTTCTCACGAAACAGGAACAGTTGGTGCATGAGTTTTAAGGCACTCCTGGCCACCACGAAAACCTGAGCCTCCAGGTTCAAAGCTGAATCCAGTACCCCCCCCCCCCCAAGCTAGAAACCTGCATTTGCAGGGATTTCACATCCCATGGCAAACTATCAAATCAAAATATTAAAAGAATCTTGCTAAAATGTTGGATCCAAAATTTTAGGAGTCATAAATGTTTGGGGTTTTGGATTTAACACCCCCTCCCCCAAACATATATTCTAAGTGCATAATGGAGATAGGGCCCCAATCAAAACACAACATTCATTTTGTTTTCCTACTCCTTATATAACTAGCCTGATATTTTAAATGAAGTTGCACATGAAACATAGCATATGTACACCGAACCATCAAAAAGCAAAGGAATAATTATCTCAGCATCTCATGCAGACTAGTCTGGAGTACAGGCAGTTCCTGAGTTACAAAAATCCGACTTACAAACACCTCAGAATTAAGAACTGGGGCGAGACAACAAGAAGCAATAGCAATCTACCCCTCAGAAGGGAAATTCACTCCTGAAAGAGTTATCATGGTGAAAAGATGTCTCCACCAAAACTTTCTCACTAATCCGTGTTTCCACAAGAAGCCAATTTCTTCACAATCCAGTTCTCACAGGAACAGAAAGTGAGGTTAAATGTTCTGAACAGGGGCGCAGACAATAAAACGAACATCACAAGGGTGTTAACCCTCCCCTATGATATCCACAGCTAATGTATATATTTAGCTGGAGTTATACTTTTAAAGTGTTCCTGTTCCAACTTACATTCAAATTCAATTTAAGAAACAACCCACAGTACCTATCTTGTTTGTCATTTGGGGACTGCCTCTTAAAATATAAAATGCCTCTAAAAAGAAAGAAGTGGCAACCTTGACTGGAGAGCCAGCATGGTGTAATGCAATGGTTTCCAACCTTTTTTTTTTTTTAACCAGGGATCATTTTGACCAGAGACCACTCTCCAACATTAGTACCAAAAGGGTTATGTATAAGTTTTTGGTCAATTTTAGACTTTGTTTGGTTATTTGGAGTGCTGATTCAGAAAACCGCATTATGCCACCCAGTAGTTGCCATCAGCTGTCCCACAGAAAACCTTATTTAATAAGCTTTGGCACTAACAGAAGTTTTCACAAGACAAAGTCGCTCTCATTGCAATGGTGTAGTAATAGTGACGCTGTGTACCATATTTTAGTTTCTTGGACGTTGGAGTATATCTCTGGAGAATAGGGTTTAAATACCCACTCAAACATGGAAACCCACTGTTCAACCTTTGCCATGTCTCACACTTCCAGCCTCTAAGGAAGGCACACCTCACTGAATAAGTATTTCATAGAAAACCCCATGTTAGGTTTGACCAAGGTTTGCCATAAGTCAACCCCACCCCCTGCCTCCAGCATATATTCTAAGTACATAATGGAAATAGGGCCCAAATCTGAACACAACATTGATTTTGTTTTGCCAACTCCTTATACAACTAGCTTGATCTTTTAAATAAAGTTGCACGTGAAACATAGCATGTGTAACTATCAAAAAACAAAGGTATCATCCTCTCAGCTACTCATGCAGACTAGTTTGGAGTATTTCAGATTTAGGATGAGGGATGTTCAAAATGTAGTAACATGATTAACTAAAGGCTCACACAGCCCTGAGCTTCGGATCTGGCGAGGCACTGGTTGATTTTTGTTCCCCAAGGATCTAGGGCAGTGGTTCTCAACCTGTGGGTCCCCAGATGTTTTGGCCTTCAACTCCCAGAAACCCTAACAGCTGGTAAACTGGCTGGGATTTGTGGGAGTTGTAGGCCAAAACACCAGGGAACCCACAGGTTGACAACCACTGATTCTAGGGGGTGTTTGATGTGATTTGTCCAATCTGGCCAAGGGAGAGCATGCTTTCTCTGCAGTCTGCAGAAAAGCTGGGGAATGGAGACCTGGCTCAAAAAGGCATGCATCTACATCAGAGCTTTCCAACCATTTCATTTAGGAGACATGCCATCCTTTTGCGACACAGCAATTCAGTTTTTACTAGCAAAGTGGAAGCTGAACCAATCAATAGTAAGAGATATGGGCGTGGTCATAAACTTATTTTATATCAAAGCATTGCATAAATTAGTACAAAACTGATAAAAATATAAGGAGCACAAGGAGCTACATATCTTTTGACCAAAAACAGGAACAGCAACCTCATTGTCTGTAGCCTCCAATAATTTTTCCTCTGTACATGAGGCAGGGCATAGTGGTCAAGCATACAGATGCAGAGTTGTCTGTTCTGCTCCACAGTCACACAAGATGTGGGATTCTTTTAGGCAGTGTCGTTTTGCCAGGTTGTCTTTTGATCTACCCACTCCAATTCTGAATCTGTTCAGGGATTTCCAAGTTGCTCATTCTTGGTTTGCCCCTAGAGCAAAACCCTCATGGAGTGCCATCCAATTGGGATTTCATAGAATCATAGAGTTGGAAGAGACCTCATGGGCCATCCAGTCCAACCCCCTGCCAAGAAGCAGGAAAATCGCATTCAAAGCACCCCTGACAGATGGCCATCCAGCCTGTTTAAAAGCTTCCAAAGAAGGAGCCTCCACCACACTCCAGGGCAGAGAGTTCTACTGCTGAACGGCTCTCAGTCAGGAAGTTATTCCTCATGTTCACATGGAATCTCCTTTCTTGTAGTTTGAAGCCATTGCTCCACATCCTAGTCTCCAGGGCAGCAGAAAACAAGTTTGCTCCCTCCTCCCTATGACTTCCTCTCACATATTTATACATGGCTATCATGTCTCCTCTCAGCCTTCTCTTCTTCAGGCTAAACATGCCCAGCTCTTTAAGCCGCTCCTCATAGGGCTTGTTCATTTTAATCCCCCTCCTCTGGACACATTCCAAGATTGTCAATATCTCTCTTCAATTGTGGTGCCCAGAATTGGACACAATATTCCAGGTGTGGTCTAACCAAGGCAGAATAGAGGGGTACCATGACTTCCCTGGATCTAGACACTATGCTCCTATTGATGCAGGCCAAAATCCCATTGGCTTTTTTTTGCCACCACATCACATTGTTAGCTCATGTTTAACTTGTTGTCTACGAGGACTCCAAGATCTTTTTCACACGTACTGCTCTCGAGCCAGGCATCCCCCATTCTGTATCTTTGCATTTCGTTTTTCCTGCCAAAGTGGAGTATCTCGCATTTGTCACTGTTGAACTTCATTTTGTTAGTTTTGGCCCATCTCTCCAATCTGTCAAGATCGTTTTGAATTCTGCTCCTGTCCTCTGGAGTATTGGCTATCCCTCCCAATTTGGTGTTGTCTGCAAACTTGATGATCACGCCTTCTAACCGTTCATCAAAGTCATTAATAAAGATATTGAACAGGACCGGGCCCAGGACGGAACTCTGCGGCACTCCACTCATCACTTCTTTCCAAGATGAAGAGGAAGCATTGGTGAGAATCACCCTCTGGGTTCGTCCATTTAACCAATTACAGATCCACCTCACCGTAGTTTTGCCTAGCCCACATTGGACTAGTTTGTTTACCAGAAGGTCATGAGGGACCTTGTCGAAGGCCTTACTGAAATCCAGGTACGCTACATCCACGGCATTCCCTGCACCTACCCACGAGAACCCCAAAGTTCTTTTTCACACTCTGGTTTAGTTGCCTAGAGGGATACTCTCGCTGTTGCTGAGGGGATGTTAAGAGGAGTGGTGGTTGACATGGATGGGGACACAACAGATCACATGAAGATATTTCACTTACTGGGGTTTTTTAATTATTTGTGTAGTGACATACATTTTGATGTTTTTTTTGTGATTTATAAGCAACAGTATGTTACGAATACCAATAATGTTATTAATACTAATTGGCACCTTTGCTGAACAATGCATGCTTATTTTACGCAGACTGAAGAGGTTTACTCCTTACGAAACGCGACATAAGAATGCCATTCTAGATCAGATTATTTAGCTCAGGCACGGGCAAACTTGGGCCTTCCCTCCAGGTGTTTTGGACTCCAACTCCCACTATTTCTAACAGCCTCAGGCCCTTTCCTTTTCCCCCTCAGGCGCTTAAGCGCCTGAGGGGGAAAAGGAAAGGGCCTGAGGCTGTTAGAAATGGTGGGAGTTGGAGTCCAAAACACCTGGAGGGAAGGCCCAAGTTTGCCCGTGCCTGCCTCCTCAGCGCATGTGGAAGAAGAAGCTATGAACACTGCATGTCATCCCGACCAAGCTATGCGCCTACACTGCAGAATTAATGCGGGTTGAAGCCCGAGCGTACCCGGCTACTGCGGCGCGGGGAAGGCGAGCGTCGAGAGCCGCGGCCGGCGGAGGGGGAACGGGAGCGGTGGCGGCGCCGGCTGCTGCGGCTCCTCGGCGAAGGCGAGCGGCGCGGCGGGCTGCGGCCTCGGGAGGGCCCCGAGCGAGAGGTGCGGGAGCCCGAGCTGCTGCTGCTGCCGCTCTCTTTGGCCCGGCCGGAGGACAACGACGAGGACGACGACATGCCCGGGAGGCCGGTGCTGCCGGCGCGGAACATGGCGAGGCAAAAGGTCCGAGGAGGCAGGCAGGCAGGCCTCCCTCACGCCTCCATCCCTTCTCCCAACTGTGGGAGGCCGTTCCCCCTCTCACAGGCGCATGCGCGCAAGCACCCCTCTCTTCCCGCTTTCCGTCCGTCCTGACAAAGATGGCGAGCCGTGAGCGGTTTCCGTCATGCGCGCGAAAGATGAAAAAGGGAAGGGGGCGTGTCCTAAATGGAAGGGGGCGTGGCGAGACCAAAGTGCGGAAAGAAACAAAAAAGCGGGAGGGAGAGGGAGAGAGGGGGGCGGAGCTCCTGGCGCGTCCGTGCGTGGTGACGTCATCCTTGAGAGGCGCCTGTCTTGAGGCTGTCGAATAGGCATGGGCAGACTTGGACCTTCCAGGTGTTTTGGACTTCAACTCCCGCCAATTCCTGTTGTAGAAACTGCACTGCGGAATGATGCTTCAGGGCTATAGAATTCTGGGAGTTGTAGTTGTATGAGGGCTGAGAGTCTGAGCTTTGTTGCCACAAGAAACTACACTTCCCAGACTACAAACTACACTTTATGTGCTAGGTGTACCCGCCTCGCGTTGCTGTGGCCAACCTTCCCTCCCTCTTTCCTTCCTTCCCTTTTCTTCTTCTCTCCTTCCTTCTCCACTTCTCTTCTCTTTCTTTCCTTCCCCCCTTTTTCTTTTCCTTCTACTTTCTCTCCTTTTTTTCTTTCTCTACCTCTTTCCTTCCTTCCTCGGCTCTTCCCTTCCCTCCGTCTTTTTCTCCTTCCCCTCCTTCCTTCGCTCACTCTTTCCCTCCTTCTCTTTTCTTCTTTCCTTCTTCCTTCCTTTTCTACCTCTTTCCTTCCTTCCCCCTTTTTTCTTTTCCTACTACTTTCTCTCATTTCTTACTTCTCTACCTCTTTCCTTCCTTCATTCTTTCCTTCCCTCCTTCTTTCTCCTTCTTCCCCTGCTTCCTTCGCTCACTCTTTCCTTCCTTCTCTACCTCTTACCTTCCTTCCCTCTTTTTTTCTTTTCCTTCTACTTTCTCTCCTTCCTTCCTTCTCTACCTCTTTCCTTCTTTCCCCCCTTTTTTTCTTTTCCTTCTACTTTCTCTCCTTCCTTCTCTACCTCTTTCCTTCTTTTCTTCCCTCCCTCTTTCTCTCCTTCCCCTCCTTCCTTCGCTCAGTCTTTCCTTCCTTTCCTTTTCTTCTTTCCTTCTCTCCTTCCTTCCTTCTCTACCTCTTTCCTTCCTTCCTTCGCTCTTTCCTTCTCTCCCTCTTTCTCTCCCTCTTCCCTTCCTTATCTTAATTTGCAGTGTATATTCATATAATCCAGTTCAAAACAAATAAATCTGGATTCAGAAACTGGATCATAAAGCAGTATAGATCCCACCTCATTTGGTTAGTTCTGGCCCAGTTTTCATAATCTAATTTATGATCCTATCATGGCTGAGGGATTCATAGCGTTTCACTGCTATTAATGCTGATGCAATTTTCATTGCCAGCTTCAGCCTGGTTCTGATTGTAGAGAAAGTTTGGACCTCTATAAAACGTATTCCTTATCTATCAGCAATAGTGAAAACAAGATAAGGACAGAACAAAGTCTCATGTTGAAGGTGTCTTCACAGTTCAGAGGCTGAAATCACTCAGATCAGAAGACAGTGGTGAATTTCTTGTTGTGTTCAGACTGCTATGGAGGTTCCTTGTCTTTGAAATACTGTGAAGATCTTGGGTAAGTACTAATTAATTAATTATTAGGCTAAAATGTATTGCTTCCATTTGAGCAGCCATCATCTGAAGTGAGAATGGAGCAGGAGTGATACTGGCAGGTTGCCAACGTAAACACTCAAATTGCCTTTGGTTTGGCAGTAGGTGGAGAACTAAGGTCCCTTCTACTGTAGGTGTAAAAAGATCAACCCTATTGGTTCTTCTATCTTTCTAACAGCAGAAGCCTAATAACAATAGTACTGTTCAAATGTCTGACCCTGAGCTGCGAAGTCACCGGTCGGCTGATCTACTTATATGTTGCTTCTCAAAATGCCTGTGAGAAATTAGGGAGTGAGGGTGTGCAGTCTTATCTAGCAGCTTGTATCCATGAGCAATGGAAAGCATAGAGAACAATAACTTCTCTCTGTGGCAGCATTTTCTAAGCATCAGCAGTTTCCCTCCCTGCAAACAGGACATCTGGAGCTTGCAGTCATTTGAAAATCACATTTTAAAAACATGTCCCTCTCAATACATTGCTATATAAAATCCAGATTATCTGCTTTGAACTGGATTTTCTGGCAGTGTAAACTCATATAATCCAGGTCAAAGTGGATGATATTGGTTATCTACTTCAATAATCTGGATTATATAGATTATATGGCAGGAATTGTGGGAGTTGAAGTCCAAAACACCTGGAGGGCCCAAGTCTGCCCATGCCTGGTCTACACTGGCCATAGAATGCAGTTTGAAATTTCATGTCATGGCAGTATAGATGAGATCTTTTAAAAAAACCAAAATAATTAGGACAAGGAAGCACTGGGAAAACATAATAGCTGAACCACTGTACATTTCTGCAAACAAAGCAAAACAAAATCAAATAAAAATTACATCACATTAAAATTTAAAAGAAGGAGGGAAGGAAGGAAGGGGATTTCTAACTGCCAGACATTTAAATTGAACCAGATGATATTACAAAAAGATCCATTTGATCAATGATAGAGAGACGTGTGCATGAAAACCTGATCAGCCCTGACTCTCAATATACCTTTTTCTCTTCATCATTACATGTAGCCTACCCATTGTCACTGTGATTGTGTTTATTGTAATTGTATATTGCTATGCATTCACATGTTTTATGTAATTGTAATGATGTTGTTTATTGTCTGCGTTTTCGGTCTGCATTTTCGGTTTTATTTGCTGTAATATGTTGTTTCGGCTTGGCCTCATGTAAGCCGCCCCGAGTCCCCATTGGGGAGATGGTGACAGGGTATAAATAAAGATTATTATTATTATTATTATTATTATTATTATTATTATTATTAATTACCTGCCTAGTACTACTTAGGCCAGGCCTCTTATTTATTTATTTACATTATTTATATCCCACCCATATCAGCCCGCAGACAACTCACACAGCTGAATAAAATCCCAAATTTTCTGCTTTGAACTGGAATATATGAGAGTATGAACTCAGCCCTTCCATGCAGCCCTATATCCCAGAATATCAAGGCAGGAAATCCCACATTATCTGAGTGGGGACTCAGATTACCCAGTTCAAAACAGATATTGTGGGATCTCTGCCTTGATATTCTGGGATATAGGGCTGTGTGGAAGGGCCCATAGACAACCCAGTTCAAAACATTGTGAGATTTTCTGCCTTGATATTCTGGGTTATATATTGCTGTGTGGAAGAGCCCCCAGTTTCCTGCCTTTTTTGTCCTTAAATGCCTGCGAAACCCTTTCTCGACAGCAGGGGTCGCTGCAGAGAAAAACACATTGCTTTCACCTAAGGCAGCAAGGAGCCCATAGACATAGGAATGAAAAATAATAGAAATCCCTAGTCTTTGTGTTTCCTGAAACCAACCAAACAGGAAGCACAGGCAGTGTTGGATGTAACTCTATGAAAGAAACCGGCTTCGGAGTGGCAGAACTTGTTCCAGGTAGTGCATGTCAAAGGGGATGGCGGTGGGCAGTTTGATAAGGAGGGAGAATTGAATGCAAAGTCAAAGTGGGGTGGATGGGGTCAGCTGGGGAGGACGAGGAGACTGGGTAGAAATTGAGCTTTTTGTAATATAAACTGATCCAATTTGAATGTCAGGCAGCTGGAAATCCCCTTCCTTCCGTCCTTCCTTCCTTTTATCTTTTGAATTTTAATATGATGTAATTTGTATTTAATTTTGTTTTGCCTTGTTTGCAGAAATGTACAGTGGTTCAGATATTGTTTTCCCAGTGCTTCCTCGTCCATATTATTTTGGTATATGTTTTTAGATGTCATCTATACTGCCATGACATGCAATCTATGGTCAGTGTAGACCAGACATGGGCAAACTTGGGCCCTCCAAATTTCCCCATGCCTGGTGCAGACTCATTGAGTGCCATTTAACTGCATTATTTGAGGCTGAATCTACACTGTCATATACTGTAATCCAGTTCAGTGCAATCAGTCAGCACTGAAACTGGATTATAGGGCAAGGTAGATCTGTGCCAGCCTAGCAGTTCGAAAACATGCAAATGTGAGTAGATCAATAGGTACTGCTTCGGCAGGAAGGTAACGGCACTCCATGCAGTCATGCCGGCCACATGACCTTGGAGGTGTCTACAGACAACGCTGGCTCTTCGGCTTAGAAATGGAGATGAGCAGCACACCCCAGAGTCAGACATGACTGGACTTAATGTCAGGGGACTACCTTTACCTTTACTTAGATCTAGCCTGAGTCTACATCGACCATATAATGCAGTTTAAACTGTATGATATAGCAGTATGGATAGGGCTTTGGAGCAGCTTCTGATGAGGCTTTTATGACACTATCACTGAATTTTATGGTGACTTAGAGGCAATGTCACACTTCGATCCTAACCTTCCCTTGTCTTTTTAATTTCCTTCTTCCTTGTTGCAGAAAACCAATAAAGGAGGAGTGTAATACTTTTTAAATTTAGACACCAACTTTCTTGTAAGTTGCCAGCAAGTCGGTTCACATTAGAATCATAGAGTTCGAACAGACCTCATGGGCCAAGAAGCAGGAAAATCGCATTCAAAGCACCCCTGACAGATGGTCATCCAGCCTTTGTTTAAAAGCCTCCAGAGAAGGATCCTCCACCACACTCCAGGGCAGAGAGGTCCACTGCTGAACAGCTCTCACAGTTAGGAAGTTCTCCCTAATGTTCAGGTGGAATCTCCTTTCTGTAGTTTGAACCCATGGTTCCGCATCCTAGACTCCAGGGCAGCAGAAAACAAGATTGCTCCCTCCTCCCTATGACTTTCCCTTAGCTAGAGTATAATGTTGTGATTTTTATTATTTATTATTTTTAAATCAGACACTTGTGCTAGTTGCTAATCCACCCAGGAATACATTTTCCAGAGCTGCATTGATGGTTTATATAAGTTAATCAGACTAAGTGAGAGCAATATATTTATATTTCATATGTGTAGCTCCCCACAGAACCTTACTCTGCTGTTTTTAGTTATGTAGAGGCAAGCTTGAACTCTTCAAGATTGTGCTCGCAGACTATCAAATTTGTCGCATTTTTATTACACTAATATAGGCCTAGTAACAGATTGCTTCCCTCGCATCTGAAAACCAGGTGGGATACAGAAAAAACTTGTCACCAAAACTAAAGTGACAAAGTGGCCACAGTTAAAATGAGAGCAAACGACATAGTGTTCGCATCACCAGGTTGAAGATTGAGATATTTCTGTCATTTTTAATGCTTATGTAGGAGAGGGAATTTCACTCCATTTTGCTGGCAGTTTCTCAAGTTGGACCAGGTCCAAATATATTGGTTCCTAGGAGACAAAGTTGGCCCACCATAAGACTGTCATTTAATTTTTTATAAGGAATTGTAAATATCTGAGCCAATATAATGTATGTGTCAGCCTCACTTGACCTGAATCAGAATGATTTTTTTCCCGGATTTATTTATTCTTAAATATAAAGTATCTTTGATTTTTTTAAAAATTTATGCAAATAATAATATAATGTTAAGTTTTAGTTTCATACAGTAATGACATTGGAACTTCTACTACATTTTTCAAGCTAAGGTCATTTAAACATATTGTTTGGTGTTTAAGGGGCAAGCGCACACCCTGGCCTCACCTCTGAAATTCCCTTTTCTCCAAAACCATTAAAGATGCAAGTTCTGTCTTCAGCTTTCACTCTCTTTACTGGTGTCATAGTGCGATGGTCATCAATGGGAAGCCTATCAACTCCAATGAAATGATGGGTCTTCATGTGTGACCACCATGCCTTTCCTTGGAAGGAGAAAAATGGATAGAACTGTTTTTGTTTCATGTATCAATTCATAGTCCTTTTATAAAGAGACAGAATGTAGTGGTAAAATATGTTTATTCTTCCCAACAAGGATTGTCAAGCAAGAGCCACAGTTTCCTTTTTTAATGTTTCATCCATTGTTTTCCACTCTCTCCCCCAGGATCCCTTGGGTGTTGTGCCTTTGCCTAGAGAAGGATGGAGGAGATCCTAGCTGGTCTGTGTGGGACCAGTCCAAAAGACCCTCTTCCTGTGTGGGTCCATGACAATGTTGGACACTGCTTTAACCAGCTGATATTAAACATGATTCCCCATGTAATACTTGCTGTAATCAGTGCCTGCTACATAGGAACACCAAGGTATGGTTAATATTTCATGAGCAAGGTGTCATTCAGTATGTTTATATGGGAGATGAATACATTGTTGAATTTTTTCTTGTTTCTTCGCTGTTTAAGAAAAATATATACTGTATTTGCTTGAATCTAATGCTCAGCTTTTTGAGCTAAATTACCTTGCCAACATTAGAGTGCACATTAGATGTTCGTAATACAATAATCTTAGTCCTGAGCTGAAGCAAAAGGGAAAGCTGCTTCAGGAGCACCTGGTGCTTTTATTTGAGGAATGTCATCTGTATTTTATGTAATCCTGGGATTTGTAGTTTGGTGAGGCACCCGCCTTCTTTGACAGAAAGTCTCAAGACCTTGTAAAACCACAGCTCCCACAATTTCATAGCGTTGAACCCTACTCATTACATTTATCAGCAAATGCTTTTTTGGTTTCACAGTTTTGAAAATTGAGGTGCGCTTTAGATTCAATGGTGCATTAAACTTGAGTAAATATGGGTATAACCACAGACAGTATACCAAGACAGCACAGTTGTTTTTCTTGGACCAGCATGGCAAGTACAAAGAGCAGTTTACTGTTGTTGAGATCCTCAGCCCAAAATGCCTATCTGTGCACATGTGTGTGCATAGTATAGTATTATACAGTAACTGTGTGTGTGTGTATCTGAATATCCACTTCCGGCTTTGAAAACCCCATATATAGTCATATATCAGTCAACCGCAAGTATAGGTCCAGGAGAAATGTTGAGACAAAAATTATAGGTTTTGATATGACCCGGTGTTATGTCAAGGGTTTTGACAGTGTTTCTTAATACCTAAATGTATATGTTCCTATTCTAACGATTGTTCATTTTTTGGTGCTGGTCATCCATTGCAATAAATAAATAAACAAACAAACAAACAAAGGGAGAGGTAAAGGCACCAGCGTCACCTTGGTGTAGCTGACCCTGCCTTTTTTTCTCATCCAGGCATTCAAAAAGGCCAGAAGCAGCACCATGAGGGTGCATTTTTGAGCCTGTGAGATCTATATAATGAGGTGATTCTTCCTCTTGGCGTGATTGAGTTGCCTTTGGCTCATGTGTAGCCGCTGTCAGTTCTGCCACTGCTTACATGAAGAAATGGTTGAATCTTTTGTGTTTCTTAGCTGTTTAATACAGCTAAGAAACACAGCTCTGAGTCCCCTTCGGGGTGAGAAGGGCGGAATATAAATGTTTTAAATAAATATATATATATATATATAACCACAGACAGCAGACCAGGCAGCATGATTATTTTGCTTGAACCAGTTTCTGTGAACTTGAGAGACTCAGCAATGAGCTATGTAGAGTTGTAGATAAATATGTGTTGGTGTTAGAGAAGAAGAAGAAGACACTACGTTAATGTTTTCCCTTCCCTCTTTTCTAGGTCTTCAGTCTCTCAGGCTGTGAACAAACCTGGATGGAAATGCAGAATTGCTGCGTCATTTATTCTTACTGGTTTGGCCATCCTTGACATAATCCCTGCAAGTGTCTGGCAACAGAAACTAAATCCCTTATACTTAGAAGTATTGTCAGATGGCATTGTCGCTGTGGCATGGCTTACCCATAGCTTGGCGCTGCTTGCTGTCTACAAGTCTCCATACCGTTTCCAGCGTGGCCCAGTAATTCTACTAATTCTTCCAATTCTCCCTGTTCCTTCCCTTATCATCACATTGGTGTGGCACTTCCAGACAGAACTAGGTGATCAGCATATTCAGCCTGTCACTATCTTCAGGTTGTCCATACTTTGTTTGCAACTGGTCTCTTTGCTTCTCTATTTTGTTGGGTACATCATTCATGTTGTTCAGAGGCCAGATTCTTATTCTATCAATGACTCATACCAGCATGAGCCCTTGATTTCAGGTATTTCAGAACCCACCTGGCCAGGAGTGGCAGAAGATGGAGAAAGCTGGCTGTCTCGTTTCTCCTATGCTTGGATGAACCCCCTGATGAAGTGTGGCTATCAGCAGAAGCTACATCAGCCACAGGATACCTTTCATCTACCTCAAAAGCTCCAAGCCAATAGAGTCCGCCAGCACTTCTCTTCCTGCTGGCAAAAAAAGGCAGCTCTCAGCCAAGAGCATGAAAATACTGCCTCTTCCACAGACAGATTATTTGCCCCAAGTGAAGAATTCTCAGTTCCAAGGTTGTCTCGTAAGACTCAAAAGTCCGTACGCCTTATGTCAGTGCTGCATGCCGCCTTTGGGCTACGCTACTATTCCCTGGGCCTCCTCAAACTGGCTGGCAGTCTGCTGGCGTTCTCTGGGCCCCTGCTTCTGAATCTGCTGGTCAGTTTCATGGAGTCGCGCAAAGAACCTCTGAGCAACGGGGTGATGTATGCACTTGGACTTTTTGCCGGTTCCTTCCTGGGTGCCATTTTAAGAAACCAGTTTAGTTACGAGATAAACAACACAATGCTGGTGGTGCGCACTGCAGTCATTTCTGCTATCTACCAGAAAGCCCTTCGAGTGAGTGGAAGTAGTCTGTCTGGCTTCACCACTGGTGAGATTGTCAACTTTATGAGCACCGACACTGATCGGCTGGTCAACTTCTTCCTCAGTTTCCATGAATTGTGGAGCCTTGCCTTCCAGTTTGCCATTACTTTGTACCTCCTGTACCAGCAGGTTGGAGTGGCTTTCCTGGGAGGGCTGGCTTTGGCTCTGCTACTCGTTCCTATCAATAAAGTGATTGCGAATCGCATGATGGAGAGTAACAAAGAGTTGCTGAAGCACAAGGATGTACGAGTCAAGGTGAGATGCAAATATATGTGTTTTAAGACTTGCTTTATGTTTCCCTTTAGGTTCTTTCTGTAATGTAGGGGTGGGGAAGGGCAACTCCTTGGGTCATTTCTGAGACCTTGAAGGAAATCCCAGTCCTACACACAATTTGAAAAACCTTTTTTCAATTTATTTAAAACTAAAAATATGACACCACCCCCAACAGCCTAGTTAAAATTTCCTGTTTACTCCCTTGAAAGAGAACAAACTTCCAGTGCTATTCAGAGCACTAGGGTAGAAGACAAAACAATTATACACTTTACTAGCCGTCCCCTGCCATGTGTTGCTGCGGCCCACATGGGGGTTCTGTGTTGGAGGTTTGGCCCAATTCTATTGTTGGTGGGGTTCAGAATGCTCTGTGATTTTAGGTAAACTATAAATCCCAGCAACTACAACTCCCAAATGTCAAGATTCTATTTTCCCCAAACTCCACCAGTGTTCACATTTGGGCATATTGAGTATTCATGTTGGGTTTGGTCCAGATCCATCATTGTTTGTGTCCACAGTGATCTCTGGATGTAGGTGAACTTCAACTCCAAAACCAAAGGACACTGCCCACCAAACCTTCCAGTATTTTCTGTTGGTCATGGGAGAACTGTGTGCCAAGTTTGGTTCAATTCTATCATTGGTGGAGTTCAGAATGCTCTTTGATTGTAGGTGAACTATAAATCCCAGCAACTACAACTCCCAAATGACAAAACAAATTTTTGAGTGAAGGACATACATTGGGTTGTTAGGTGTCTTGTGTCCAAATTTGGTTTCAATTCATCCAGTGGTTATTGAGTTCTGTCAATCCCACAAACGAACATTACATTTTTATTTATATAGATTTATATTCCGCTTTATCTCCCCAGAGGGACTCAGAGCAGATTACAATACTCATATGAGGTAGACATTAAATGCATTTTACACACACAGTGAACAACAGCATACAACACAGACAAAGGTAAAGGCCTTCCCCTTTTCCCGGCCATGGGGAGGTGCTCTTGTTCCATTTTCCATGCCGAGGAGCCTGTTGTCTGTGGACATCTCCAGTTGTTGCCAGTATGTCTGCATATCTGCATGGGGTGCCCTTTTACCTTCCCACCGAGGCAATACCTATTGATCTACTCACATTGCATGTTTTCAAACTGCTATGTTGGTGGTAGCTAGAGCTGACAGTCAGGAGCTCACCCCGACTCATATCTTCGAACTGCCAACCTTCAGGTCAGCAGCTTTCCTGCAGCTAGTGGCTTAACCCACTATGCTACCGTGTCAACACAACTGTGATGAAGTTCTTTGATGCAACCCCTATTGAATAAGGAGGAGCTGTGCAAAAACAAACAAACAAAAGTATCATACAATAATAGAGTTGGAAGAGACCACGTGGGCCATCTAATCCAACCCCCTGCCATGCAAAGCATGTGCAGAGTTCTGTTTTGATTAAGATTGTTTAAGGGATTTGGGGGTATTTTCTCAGCTCTAGTAACTGAAAAGGAAACCTTCTGAATGTAAACTGTGCTCTTGTTTCTTGGGTAACATCTAAGTGAAGGTCTTTTGGTTTCTTCATATAGTAACCTAATTGTAATGATATTCTTATGTACTTGCTTCCTCTGATAAAGTACCAAACCAAAAAAGATATGCTGTTTGGTCTGATACATGTATCTTAAGCCATTGCTGAATTAGAAGGTTCTCTGTGGACACGTTATATTCTCTCTGACTGTTCTCTTATGTCTTCCTCTGTCTCTAGCTTATGACAGAGTTCTTGTGTGGTATGCGGGTGATCAAGTTCTACACTTGGGAACAGCATTTTGGCACAAAAGTGCATGCTTGTCGAGCCCGGGAGCTGAAGAGTCTTCAAGCCCTCAAGTATCTAGATGCTGTGTGTGTCTACCTTTGGGCAGCACTGCCTGTGGTTGTCTCTATTGTCATATTTATCACTTATGTTCTACTTGGTCATCAGCTTTCAGCAACAAAGGTAAGAGGTATGACCATTCTAAGGTAATTCCTCAAGCTGGATTTGAAAACAGACTGCTTTATTACCAGCTCATTGGTGACCTTTAATTAAATTTCACCGAAAATACCAGTTGTTTCCTTTTAAAGTCCAAAACACTAGTATACTTTAATCACCTTCTCATTCTGCCTATCCACTGAGATTAACTAGTGAGACCTTTCTTTGTGCTCTGTTGCTAATGGAACGCTAATTGACTGGAACACACAAAAAGACATTTTCCACCACGACAAACATTTTTTCTGGAATTCTTTCCATCCTCAATTTAGTGTTTTGCAAAACAGTAAACATATTCCTGCTGAATCGCAGGTGCAATATAGTCTGATTTCTCCATGTACATATTTAGGCAACTTTTACTTCCCAAGATGCATTTTGACAATAGCAAATACTGTACATATGAAAGTCACATTTATTTTAAATAGTCAGGCCCCTTCTACACTGCCATATACAATCCAGATTATCTGTTTTGAACTGGAATATATGGCAGTGTAGATTCATATCTAGTTCAAAACCTATAATGTGGATTATCGTCTTTGATAATCTGGATTATATGGTAGTGTAGCAGGGGCCTCAGATGTACCACCAGTGTGTCTTCTTTTACCTTCTTAAACCATCACGTGTTCCTATCGCTTACTTCTGTGCTAAATATGGTGTCTTTGGAGCAGACCTTGGATCAACATGTTGTCCAAATGTGGAATTTGACATGCAAAGCAAAATTCCACTTGAAAATATGTTTCTAGTTAGTAAATTAGAATTTGACATTATTTTTCAAAATATCCAACCTTTAAGAAACAGTAATTGTGCCCATAGCTTTTAAAGCCTAAAGTTCAGTGCCTCAACCATCTGACTCGTTTTCTAAAATTCCTGCTGGATTTCCATTTGCTCACTGAAACACTTCTCTCATTTTCTTCCTCCACTGATGCCCATGTTTTTGTTACCTTAGTCTTAGCCATTCACGAACATATTTATACAGAGGAAGCATGCATTTTAATAAAGCAAATAATAAAATAAATGAGTGCATTTGCACTTCATTTGCAGAGATCAAAGCACAAAATTTGGATCCAGTTTAGTTGCTGTGAAATGTGCATATTAGTTTGTTTATTATTTTTGTCACACATATACCTGAGCACAGGCTTTCCTCTTCAGTAGGACTGTTGCTTCCTACTTTGCTAAAATGCTGCTGTATTTATTAGATCTGGAATACCTGTCTTTCCACCATAGGTGTTTACAGCTTTGGCCCTCATTGGGATGCTCATTCTCCCTCTCAATAACTTCCCCTGGGTGTTAAATGGGATCTTGGAAGCCAAAGTATCTTTGGATCGAATCCAGCACTTCCTTGAGCTTACAGACCAAGATCTGGATGCTTATTACAGCAGAGGTATGGTGAAGTTGTGAATTAGGGGTGTACGGTCTTGAATGGGGTAGGACACCTGAATGGAGGCAGAGGTACTTCTGGTTCATTAGTTGTCAGCATAATAACAGATAGAGAGTGCACTGTTTATTTGTTCACGGATACTCCATCTTTCTTTCAACAATAAGACTCTAAGCAGCTAGCAACACATTAAAAAACAATATAAATTAAAATTATACAAAAATGTTGAAGCCTCCGGTAGCACAATGGGTTATACCCTTGTGCTGGCTGAATTGGTCAACCAACAAGTTGGCGGTTTGAATCCAGGGAATGGGCTAAGCTCCCGTCTCTCGAGCTCTAGCTTCCCATGCGGAGACATGAGAGAAACCTCCCACAGGATGATAAAACAAACATCCAGGCATCCCTGGGCAACATCCTTGCAGACAGCCAATTCTCTCACACCAGAAGCTACTTTCAGTTTCTCAAGTCACTCCTGACATGAAACAAAATACAAAAATGTTAATAAAACAATAAGTATTCAAGTTATTTTAAGCAACCAGTTCCCAAACACATCTCTTGGAGACTATCTCCCTGTGACTATGTTACTACTTTTCTGTTTCAGCTGGCCCTTCTGACCCATGTTCTCTGCTAGAAATGCACAATACCTCTTTCTCATGGTCAACACCAAGCTATGATAACAGTGAGCCACAAAGACCTAGCACAAGTTTGCAACTTTATATTCAAGATCTAAAGGTGGCAAAGGTGAGCAAGGAACAGCACTGCTACATGCAACTGCCATTATATAAACTATTTAACATAGTAGGCTTGCTACTTTATTTTGTGGATAGAACAAGGATATTCTTTAAAGTTTATACTAATAAATATGAGGGTTATCCGGAAAGTAAGGTTACAAGATTTTTTTAAAATACAAAGAATGAATATGTTTTAATAAAACTTACATGGATAGTAGCATAGGTATTACATTTTTCCACATAATCACCGTTCAATTCAATACATTGTGTCATCCGTAGGACGAGTTTTAGATGCCTGTGTCAAAGAAGTTTCCATCCGCCTTTTTTAGCCATTTCGTCACTTCAATTTTCATCTCATTGTCATCAGAAAAGTGTCTTCCACCCAGGTGTTCCTTCAATTTAGTGAACAGATAATAGTCACTAGGTACAAGGTCGGGGCTGTGAGAGGGGTGGCTTAAAACATCTCAGCCAAATGAAGTCAATAACTCTTTTGTTGCATGAGCGGTGTGCAGACATGCACATCTTGAAGGAGACAGACTCCTGCCGTCAGCATGCCACGACATTTATTTTTGATGGCTCTGCGAAGTTTCTTCATGGTCTCGCAATATATCCCATACTCATTTTGACACATGCTGCCTTGACATTACGTCCTCTCTATAAATGGAAACAATTTTGCGATAAATCGCAGTGGCGTTCATGTCCTTAGCATTTAGGTAGCGTATTACAGTGCAAACTTCACACTTGGAGGGAAACGGGATGAAGATGCTCATCTCTAACCTTCACCACAATGAGCTGCTGATGACTAGCACTGCTCGTTCACTTCCGCTGACTTCCCGCTACAAAACAGTGATACCAACTTCTCCCAAGAAAATTCTCTGCGAGAGCTATGTGCCTTGTAACCTTACTTTCCAGATAACCCTCATAGATTACCCTTTCTAAAATAGTATAGCAAGACTGAGTACTAATCTGCAAAATTATTGGTGTGTTTTCCCCATCTCTAGGGTGCACTGATTGGTGTTGTTGGAAAGGTTGGATGTGGAAAGAGCAGTTTGCTTGCAGCTATCACTGGAGAACTGAGAAGGTAAATAGTCAGTGCCATGTTGATTTTAATTACATAGAAGCCATGGTTTCATTTGCTAGATCTTAACTTCAATCAGTGTTAATCTGAGGTCAAACTTGAATTCCATGAGTAAAGTTGGGCCACAGATTTATCACCACCATAAAAACAAATTAATAATGTATTGATCCTATATACTCAAAACTGGAACAGCAGTGCATTAACTTATGGGTCCAAATAACGATAGAGTATAGGGAAAAAAACATACCAAGACTGATTATTTTTATTTATGTGGTCAGTGTGAATAAAAACAGCAACCATTAGTAGTGAAGTAACTACTAAAGCATCCATTTAAATATGAATATATTATCAGTGACTGGACTGACCTTGAGGGAGCTGGGGGTGGTAACGGCCGACAGGGAGCTCTGGCGTGGGCTGGTCCATGAGGTCACGAAGAGTCGGAGACGACTGAACGAATGAACAACAACAATCAAGACTCTTTCATGCTGATTTCTTTTAAAACGTATTAAGTTTCCTGTTGTTCTAATTGCACAACACGTCAGCACTAAATTCATACCTCGTCATGTAATGCACTTGAACAGCAGGCCCACAGATGCCTCAATTTCCAGTAGAATAGGAAGAACAAATGAAAAGAACAAGAGGGAAAAAAAGAAATCCAAACAGTGGGTAGCCTAACAAAAGCAAGCACTTGGTCTCTTCCTACAATGTAGTTCTCCGCATTATTCCTACAAAGGTGTCCCAATTGCAATGTGAAAGCAGTGTAGGCAATATCAGGTTTTTTCTTATATTTTAGAATAGGAAGCAATCTGAGTACCTGATTTAAAGCTAACATGTAGAAATTTATTTATTTATTTATTTATTACCATATTTGAATACCGCCCTTCTCAGCCCGAAGGCGATTCAGGGCGGTTCACAGTTGGCAACAATTTGATGCCTCAACAATTATAAATAAGTAAAACAATAATAAAACATTGTTAAAACATTTAGCATAAAATATAAAAATATAAGGAACCGTACAAAGCCATAAAAACATTGTCATTAGTGTCTCCTTGTCAAAATCACTATTCAATTGCCAGAATAGATCTATCCTGGTCCCCAAACAGACTGAAGGATGAACTCTGAGAGGTTGGCAAAGTGAAAAGGCTCTTTTCCTTTCCCCCACCAAGTGCTGAGAAGGTGGTCAGAAGGGCTTCTCGAGAAGATCTCAGAGCTCAAATGGATTCATAAAGTATGTGTTGGAATTCAACTCCAAACTACCCAAGTCTCAAATCCTCAACGAGGAGCAGTTAGCTAGTTTAGTATAGACTAGTGGTTCTCAACCTGTGGGTCCCCTGGTGTTTTGGCCTACAACTCCCATAAATCCCAGCCAGTTTAGCAGCTGTTAGGATTTCTGGGAGTTGAAGGCCAAAACATCTGATGAACCACTGGACTAAGGGTTTCCCTTCCCCCATGTCTCCTTTATGACAGTTGGGAATGTATCTATTCCTTCTCTCCTCTCTATTTCTACTCTCATTCTGATTGGTTGGGTAGAATAGATATTTTTCTACTGCAAGCCTTTACTCTGACTTCTGTTTCTTGCATCTTTGTATGTTCTGTGTGCTTTGAGATCTCTCTCTGCTTGTGTGTCAGAGAGATGTAGTGCTCGGATGATTTTTCCCTCTCTTGAAACCTTAGAAGAGATGGGTGTTAGAGTAGCTCAGACCCAGTTATTTAACTAGTTAGAAATGCAGTTATTCTTTATTATTGTAAATAAACCTTTTGTGGCTTTTTAAGATTGGACTCTGCATCTTTACCTGCCTAAGCTCTTAATTCTTTACAGCCACAACCAATGGCACTTCACGCTATGTTCACTAATGAGCTTAATGCTCAACTTTTAGTCCTGGTTGTATTTTTGGATGCTCTGCTGTACTTTAGGGTAGTTTTCCCTAACAGTATGCATTATAGGTCACCACCAGCACTTTGAATTGTACCTGGAAACAGAGCAATAGGTAGTGGAGCTATTGTAACAGGTAGTGGAGCTGTGTGCTCCCTGTGGCCGGCCTCCACTGACAATTGTTCACATCTATTGGTCCATTATAGTGCATACTTTTTACACATGAGATTCTCAGTTATCTCCTCTGCAGTCAGTTTTAGCAACAACTTGAGTATCGGTTACTTCTGGACCATTCACAGAGCTAATACAGCAACTTTTTCCATTGCCACTAGTACTAGCAACAAATCCTCAGAAGGGGCAAGATTTCTTTCTCAAAACAATGCAACATGAAAATTTACACCCACTCACATGGCAGTTTTATTTATGTTTTTCTTCTTTTAAACTTTCTGTGCTGCCCATTGCTGTGGGATATGTACAGACAAGGTGAGCAGGTTTATATTTGGAACCTGGACAAAGGATTCGGATTGGCTACACAAGAGCCTTGGATCCAGTTTACCACGATTCGAGAAAACATCCTGTTCGGAAAGGAATATGATGCCAGATTTTACCAGAAAGTAATAGAAGCCTGTGCTCTCACTGATGATTTGAACGTGAGTGTCCCATAATATCCCTCAGAATCCTAGGAATCAGAGTGCTCTAGTATTTTAGTAAAATGATCAATGTGTTGTCGAAGGCTTTCAAGGCCAGAATCGCTGGGTTGCTGTGAGTTTTCCAGGCTGTATGGCCATGTTCCAGAAGCATTATCTCCTAACATTTCACCCACATCTGTGGCAGGCATCCTCAGAGGTTGTGAGGTTTGTTGGAAACTAGGCAAGTGAGGTTTATATATCTGTGAAATGTCCAGGGTGGGAAAAAGAACTCTTGTCAGTTTGAGGCAAGTGTGAATGTCGCAATTGACCACCTTGATTAGCATTGAATGGCCTTGCAGTTTCAAAGCCTGGCTGCTTCCTGCTTGGAGGAATCCTTTGTTGATAGGTGTTGGCTTGTTTGACTCTTGTCTTTAATTCCCCTGTTTTTTGAGTGTTGCTTTTTATTTACTGTCCTGATTTTAGAGTTTTTTAAATACTGGTAGTCAGATTTTGTTCAGGCAGCACTTAATCTGCCCAATTGAGAGTTAAGAACAACACATTTCATTTGGTTAATATACAGTATATTGTTCACTCCCAGTATTTTATTTCTACAGTCATAGTTCTCTCAGGAGAAAGCTCTTGTCTAGGTATATTCTTATGTACAATCTTAAGGTGAAAGGAAACTGGAAAGGAAGAACATTTTGCTCATTCAGGTCTATATTATTATCCCTGTGAAGTATTGCAACATCATATTACATGCTCCAACATAGTGTTGCCAAACTCCCAACATAATACATAGAGAAGTTCTGCTCCTCTGTTGTAGTGGATTGAAAACAATCAAACCAGAACAAATCCAGTGACAGCGAGAGAGTCTTTTTGTTTTTGTATAAACTTTTGGTTTGTTCATCTTATGCCAATGAGTCATCCAAGAATCAGAAGCACCAATACAAGTTTTAAATTATTTCTCTCTTCTAGATTTTGCCAGCAGGTGATCAGACAGAGGTGGGTGAGAATGGGGTGACCCTCAGCGGGGGACAGAAAGCCCGAGTTGCACTTGCCAGAGCCGTTTACCAGGTAGATAAAAGACTGTAGGAAAATAACTCTGTTCTTTCTACGCTATTTCTACCTTTGGTACCAAAGTTTTTGTTAAAGACATCATGCTTCAGACCATCCTTTACATTAACATATGTTCAGGCAGTTTCTGAGTTCTAAGCATTCAACTTACAAACGACTCCTAATTAAGAACAGGGCCGAGTCAACAGGAAGGAAGAGAAATCTACCTCTTGGAAGGGAAATCCACTCCTGAAAGAGTTGTCATAGGGAAAAGGTGTCTCATTCCAATTTACATACAAATTCAACTTAAGAACAAACCTAAAGAACCTATCTTTTACTGTCTGTACTTCTATGCTGCCCTAACAGGGGCATTGTAATGTTTTTCCATAGGAGAAAGAACTGTACCTTCTTGATGACCCACTGGCAGCTGTTGATGCGGATGTGGCCAATCACCTAATGCAGAAGTGCATTTTGGGAATTCTTGGACATAAAACCAGGATTCTTTGCACCCACAGAACTGAGTTCTTGGAGAAAGCCGACATCTTATTGCTGATGGACAATGGCAAAATAATCCAGACAGGTATATCTGGTGCCTTCTATTTGGCTTGTCTCTTTCAGCACTCCCTTCCATTTCCTTCCCAAAGTAGGAATGTGGCATATCAGGCTGGTAGTGTTTTATCTGCTCATTTATAGTTAATTTACAATTCTTAACATGCTGCACTTATTGACTCAATTATGATGTTTCTTTTATGGATATTTTATGGATTTATGGATGATTATTTTAAAATGTGTATTTTGATACTTTGTGAGTTATACTTGAAACTCATTAGACCATAAAAACTTACATATTCAAATAGAAATTTAATAAAATGTAGGATTTAAATGAAAAGCAGTATATTAGCAAAATAGCCATGAGTAGGGAAAAGAGCAAACACAGTGCAGGGAAAAAATAAAGATTAGGGGAATTTATTAGTGTTATGGAATTAATAAAGAGTAAAGAAAAATGGAGCCCCCAGTGGTGCAGCAGGTTAAACCGCTGAGTTGCCAAACTTGTTTCAGCACTCCCTTTCACTTCCCTCCCCAAAGTGGGAATGTGGTTTGAATCCAGGGAGTGGGGTTGCCCCAACTTCTACCAACCTAGCAGATCAAAAACATGCAAATGTGAGTAGATCAACAGGTACCGCTCTGGTGAGAAGATAACAGTGCTCCATGCAGTCATGTCGGCCACATGACCTTGGGGGTGCCTACAGACAATGCCAGCTCTTCGATTTAGAAATAAAGATGAGCACTACTCCCCAGAGTCAGATACGACTAGACTTATTGTAAAGGGGAAACCTTTACCCTTACCTTAAAGAAAAATAGGTCAGGCTTCCAAATAGTGATTCATGAGCAAGGGGGAACTACCATTGAGCAGAGATTTTGAAGTCTGTTTTACTTTCTTCTAGGACCACCAGGAGAAATTCTACCACTGGTAGAGGCTGCCTCTAACTTTAGGAGGATGGACAAGAGAAAAGAAGACAAGAGTAAGTATTGGGCATTTTTAGAATGGCTTTGTTATGGCTCTTCAGATCTCTGGTAACTGCTGAAATGCTGAAAATATTTGTAGATTTGCAGCCTTTTTATTCTCTCAGGACTAAAGGACTAGGATAAGGAGTACAATTTGTTTAAAAATCTGGAAAAATGGGAAATGTGGTTATAGGAGGTATGGGTACATGGGTTTCTTTTTGCATTATTTTTTCTGGCTAAAATTATCACACAGAAAAAACAATACCTTGTTGTACTGATATTGTTAGACTGCAAATCCTAGCAGCCCTGGCAAGTAGAGTATAGGCAATGGCGAGGAGTGCTAGGTGTTGCCATCCAATAATATCAGAAGAGCTGTACAATCTCCATCCTTTATTGAGAAAATGCTAGTAGAATCTTCCTCATGAAGAGCTGATTGTGTATTTATGTTTGCTAGCATGCTTAGAGATTGTATATAATGCCACACATAAAACATGCTGATGAAAAAAATAACTAAAAGAGTAAAAGCTACTAGAGTTAATCAAGCCTACTTTCATTTCTGTGACATGGTACACATTTATTAATTTTTTAGATGAAAATGCACTCCTCCGCCATACATACAAAATAATAATAATAGAACAATCAAGGGTGCTGTGATTTTTCGCTATGTATAGACTTTTTATCAGTTTTAAGAGTGTTAACTGTATATTTTTTAATACCGTTTATATTTAATCTTAATGTTTGCATATTTTAGGTTTTAAATTGTATTGCATTGATTTTACTGTACACAGCTTTGAGTCTCCTTTTTTGATGGAAACAGTGAGGTACAAATAATAATCACAGAATCATAGAATTGGAAGAGACCTCATGGGCCATCCAGTCCAATCCCCTGCCAAGAAGCAGGAAAATCGCGTTCAAAGCACCCCCGGCAGATGGCCATCCAGCCTCTGTTTTAAAGCCTCCAAAGAAGGAGCCTCCACCACACTCCGGGGCAGAGAGTTCCACTGCCGAACAGTTCTCACAGTCAGGAAGTTCTTCCTAATGTTCAGGTGGAATCTCCTTTCTTGTAGCTTGAAGCCATTGTTCCGCATCATAGTCTCCAGGGCAGCAGAAAATAAGCTTGCTCACTCCTCCCTATGACTTCCCCTCACATATTTATACATGGCTATCATGTCCCCTCTCAGTCTTATTTCTGCAGGCTAAACATGCCCAGCTCTTTAAGCTGCTCCTCATAGGGCTTGTTCTCCAGACCCTTGATCGTTTTAGTCGCCCTTCTCTGGACACATTCCAGACAACAATACATGTTGATTTCTGAAGAGATAATAATCATATTTCTTTTAGCTGGGTAGGTATGAACCACAAAGTCAACACATTTCTCTGCACTAGACTTCTGATCCATTGCTTGCTGGTAACATCTTTAAAACATTCATAAAACAGAATCCTAGGTAGAGCTTTTCTTCACCATTAAGTCCCTAACTATGTTCCCTAACGCAGTGATTCCCAACCTTTTTTTGACCAGGGATCACTTTGATTTTTTTGTTAGCAGGGACCACAAGGTTCAAGAATAATAATCTGTGTTAATCTAAAAAGAAACTTTAATCAAAACTTTTAACATATTTGTTAAAATTATTAGTAGCATGAATTAAGAGTATTTCTTTACAAGTTGGGTAATCCTGAGGCTCATATTATTGCTCAAAGCTACATGCATATCATCACTTACTGTCAATCGATTCCTGGACTTGTTTCTAATTACCAGCAAAGCAGGAAACCCTTGTTCACATAAATAAGTTTTGAAATTTTAGAATTAAAAATAGCTTTTCTACACCAAGACTCCTCAAGGGAATCAGATTCAATCAGATTTTCCATAATCTCTCATACTTCAGCCCACCTACCCCAAGTAGAAAGTGCTAGATTTGCTTTATTTTTAAAGTTGCCACATTAATTTCCTCTTTCCCCACTGAATCTGATCCCATAACTCCCAGTGATTTTGGATTTTGAAAAAAAAATAGGCTTGTTGTGAAAACAAGGATTAGCGATTAAAGCTTCAATGGAGGCACCTTCTAAGGTACTAAGGCCCCTTCCACACAGCTGAATAAAATTCCACATAATCTTCTTTGAACTGGAATATATGGTAGTGTGGATTAGATAACCCAATTCAAAGTAGATATTGTGGGATTTTCTGCCTTTATATTCTGGGTTATATGGCTGTGTGGAAGGGCCCTGAGACCACACTGCCATATAATCCAATTCAGTGAGGATTTTATACAGCTGTGTGGAAGGGGCCCTGGGACACACACACACATCCCACAAAGGAGAATCACTGGGAGTCCTAATGTCTTGGTCTGAAACACTTGTTATATGTGTATGTGTGTAGAGAGAGATTGAGAGAGCGAGCTATTTTTTGTTTCCTTGTGATGTGAGAAATAGAATAACTACAGTGGGAAATCTTATCTTAAAATAAGTTTAGGAATAACTGAGTGTGTTAGAGGAACACAGACCAACTAATAGGAAGTATGCTTAGCTGTGTTATTTAAGTGTTTTCCTTTGCATCTGCTTAAAGGGATGGGTTTAGCTTGGCTTCTTACACTGAGACTCTGCAGAGATAACTTGGCTGCCCAACAAAAGTGTCTTCAACTTGTCTCCTAGTATCTACAGTAGATAACCAAGAAGAGGTCATAGAACCTGAGGAGGAAGAATCAGACCGGGCAAAATGTCTTCTCAAGCAGGAGGAAGAGAAGAAAGAAGGGGCAGTGGCTTTCCAGGTCTACAAAGTTTATTGGGTGGCTGTTGGCACCTGCCTTGCAGTGTCGATACTCTTCTCCTTGCTGCTAATGCAAGGTAAAGACTATGGCTTTGTTTTGTCTTTTTGTTACTTTTCTGCTATCTCCCAGCATTCTGTTCAAATAGTTGTCTCACTTAAGGGCATTCAGAAAATCTGTATCATTGTCAGGGGCTGGTTACAGGGAAAGAACTACTCCCCTGCTAAAACAACTCCACTGGCTACCAGTCAGCTTCCAAGCACAATTCAAAGTGCTGGTCTTAACTTATAATTCCCTAAGACGACTTGAGCCCAGTCTACTTAAAAGACCGCATCTCCCTCTATGAACCTGCACAAGCCCTAAGATCAACAAGAGAGGCCCTTCTCTCGGTCCCACCACCATTGCAAATATGGTTGGTGGGAACAAGAGAGAGGGCCTTTTTGGTGATTGCTCCATAGCTCTGGAACTCCCTTCTGAAACACATCAGAATGGCCCTTCCCTAATATCTTTCAGGTGCCAGATAAAAACTTTTTCTCTGGAATCAAGCCTCCAATGAAGAATTAAACAAGAGCGATAGGCACCATAGTAACATTGGGGCTGAACCTTTTTTGTGCAATACCTTTATGGACAAGTGGCAATTGGACAGATAATGGTTTTGGTTTATGTTTATTTAGTTTTTAAAGGTAAAGGTAAAGGTTTCCTCTTGATATTAATTGGAATTTCTTGTCCAGCTCTGGGGGGTGGTGCTCATCTCCATTTCTAAGCTGAAGAACCATGTAGATGCCTCCAAGGTCATTGGCCGGCATGACTGCACAGAGTGCTATTACCTATTGATCTACTCACATTTGCGTGTTTTCCAACTGCTAGGTTGGTAGAAGCTGGGGCTAACAGTGGGAGTTCAACCCGCTCCCTGGATAACTATACCTAAAGTGTTGAATAAATTTTAATCTGTAACGTGTTCTATTATGATCTAACTGCTTTATTATGTTTCAATTGTTATTTTTTAATTATGTCTACTTTGTTTATCCCAATGTACCTTGTTGTTAGCTGCTTTAAATCCCCAAAGGGGGAGAAAAGCAGGATATTATTATTATTATTATTATTATTATTATTATTATTATTATTAACAGGGATGCAACTGTACTGCAATGTGGGTGGAGGAAAGTGCAGGGAAAGAAGGACACCTATACTTTTGCTCTCCTTCCCTGGCATTTGAAGCATGCATAGCGATAGCCCAGTATATTCTCAAATAATATAGCAACAAGCTGCTTCATGTGACAGTATTGGTTGTAGACAAGTCAGAACCTCAGTTTTCACAGGAGAAGGTGGGGAATATGCGTATAGCCATTTGTTATGATGTTATGTATTAATGTATTAATGATGTTAGTTGTTGTGCTGATTTTTTGTAAGTGTCTTTTGTACTGTACACCGCCGCGAGTCGCCCTAGGGCTGAGAGCGGCGGTTAACAAATGCAAGAAATAAATAAATAAATAAATTGTAGGGCCATGATGTAGTACATTTGCATATGGCTTCTTTCTCATATTAAACTGATGAGAAGAGTTATCTATGGTTAATTTTCTAAACTTATCATAGACCGAAGTGATTTTTTATTGGAAGAGGTAGAACTAAATGTATGCATTTCTGCATTTCTGCAGGTTCTAGGAATGTTTCTGATTGGTGGCTATCAAACTGGATCTCTAGCCTACCTCCTGCAGGAAATACCACTATCAACAACACATTGTTTCTGCCCAATTTACAGCTGCTGCTCTTCTCCCCTGGGGGACTTGTGTATGTTAGTATAAGCTCTGAGGTGGACTGGGACTGGGGGACCACATCTGTCAGTGAGGACGCATGAATACATGGATTGTTCTAGCAGTTCCTTCAGGAAGTCCTTTTTTGACATGAGCACTAAGCTGTACCTTCACTGAATCAGATGGCAAATTGCACATTGTGAAATAAAAGCTTTTTAAAAAGAGAGGATAAGTTAACAAATAATTTACCCAGATAACTTATTCAGGATAAATATAAATTGGAGGGTTTGGAATTGAGATTATTGGAACTAAAAAATTTCTGGCAATGTGGGTCAGCATATAAAAACTTCCAGTGAGTTGTCATTGTGAGCCTCCCAACACAAAGTAAACAGCTAAACCGTCAGCAAGGTAACATTATTATTATCACCACCACCCTAATTATGCAAAAGAATAGTTTTGCCCACCACCATGAAAAAGAATATATTTCAGTAGGTTTACAACTGTTTTGACACCATTGGGGTGAACAAATGAGGGCTGCTAACAATTATGAGTGTAATACGTAGCCAAGGACTTCAAAAGTATAGGTGAACAGTGTAATTGGAAAGATGAAAGTTCCATCTTAGCAGCAGGCCCTCAAACTTTGAATGTTATGGATTTGGGAGAAGAGCTAGGAAAGAAGTCAGGGGAAGAGCCAATCCTTTGAAATGCCCAGCCTGACTAATCTTGTCTGTCGTTTTACCAGTTCCCCAGTCTTGGTCTCCAGTACTTCAAATGGCACTTCAGATGTGAAATTTTACTTGACTGTGTATGGTTGCATTGCTGGGGCAAATTCCATCTTCACCATCTTGAGGGCATTCCTCTTTGCCTATGGCACCATTCATGCTGCTACTGTTATTCACAATCGGCTGCTTAGACGAGTGGTGAAGGTAAAGTATTTCAGACAGGATGCCTATGGGTCCTGGAAGTTCTGTCTGGGCAGAGTAGGTGCATGGATGCATAAGAACGGCTTATGTTTAAATGACTACAATGCTTGGTTATAATCTTTCTAATGCTTCAAATTTGGGCAGGCTTCTTGGAGAGGGGAAATATCGTAATTTCTACCACTCCCCCTTGTATCATACACCTTGTTCTTTGGTTTGGATTTTGTATGTGAATTTTTCAGATGCACTCAGCACCAATATCATTGCATCCTCAACTCCACATTTTGTGTGGTGGTGTAATGGGGTTTCAGGATTACTTGGAAAACATTTTATGCTACTTTTTTTTGAAGAAACATTTAAACTCTTTCAGTTTATTTATATGTGTACCAACTACCAATAATGTTATATCCCAATTGAAAAAAAAAGAAAACATTGTTTCAGAAATATTTTAAAATTAGAAAAAATTAATTCAAGTCCTATATAATAACTAAGTTAATATTAAATACAAACAATAGGATTGTTAATCTGTAAACTGATTCTATCAATTCAGTATTGCCTTACAGGTGGTTTTTCCACTTAAATAACAAACGAATCAGATTGTATCTCAGATAGAAGAATTTACACTCTGCAACACAGATTTTAGCATGTTATTTTCCTCTGGTGATAATAAACTGCCCTATTCAACTAATGGGCACCCACTGTGGGTAGGAGGATGTGAGCCATGTCCTTTAAGTGTGTGATCAGAGTACAGTCTCCTGGCGGGAGAGAATCCAGGGCTTGGGTTGCACAAATATCATGAAGAATAAAATAAAATCGTGAAATGTATGCAGGCTCTGAGATTAATTTCCAAAAGCAATATCTGAAATGGCCTACAAACCATCAGCCTGCTCTTCATACTCTTTGTTTCTTCATTGCCAGGCCACAATGACTTTCTTTGACACCACGCCAACAGGCCGCATCCTTAACCGCTTCTCTTCAGACCTGTATTGTGTTGATGATACTCTGCCCTTCGTTCTTAACATCTTCCTGGCCAACATCTTTGGACTACTGGGAATGTTGGTGATGATCACTTACGGACTTCCTTGGATCGGCCTCGTTCTGCTGCCCTTGGCAGTTATCTACTATTCCATCCAACGCTATTACCGGTGCACCTCCCGCGAACTCAAGCGCCTTTATAGTCTCACCCTGTCCCCTATCTACACTCATTTCTCAGAAACTTTGACAGGGCTCAGCACAATACGGGCAACTAGGGCCACAGACAGGTGAGTTTTGTGTTTTAGCCAAGGGGGTCTAAACCAGGGATGAATTGGTTAATGGGGTATATCGTCCTTGCAGGGAATCCTGGGAATTGCGCTCTGTCTCTCCCAAATTACATTTCAGGCATTTTGAGTACAATTTTGTCATTTAAAAAAAAATGTGGGTTGTTTTAGGCCCAGGAGATAGCCTGTTTTTTTTAAACAGGAAGAGACTGGAAAATCAATTTCTACTTATAAAATATCCTCTCATTGGCATCAAGAATTGGCCCGTATGGCTCTGTGTGGGGGGTTATACACCGTAAATAAAATTATTCTTTTCCAAAAAAAAGAAATGGTGGCGGCTACAAAAATTGCCCCGGGGACTGTGTGTTGCCTGTCAGCTGCATCCAGTCTAAAATCTTTGAGCAAACATTTACAGAAAGTGCTGGCTTTAGGTTTTGGCTATATGACAGTTATTAAAAGAGACATCAAGACCCATAAGGCAAATTGTTCCTGAAATTAACCTCTGGGCTGCATCCAGTCTAGGTTTGAGACAGAGAACCAAGAGCGACTAGAGCTGAACCAGCGTTGCCGTTTTGCTAGCAACACTGCCATGCAGTGGCTAGACATTCGACTGCAGATGATCGGAGTTGCTGTAGTTACTGCTATTGCAGGAATAGCAATTGTCCAGCACCAGAAGAAACTTGGAAATCCAGGTGAGCCAAATGACAACACCCTGAAGGAGGTTGTGGCCATCCCTCCTTATTGATGTCTTTCCTCCTTTCCCCTCACTCTTAAAGGTACATCCTGATTTTCTTTTCCCCTTCTGATAATAGAGTGCTAAGAAGAAACTGAAAAGTAGTTTTCTAGATCCAGGACCTACTGCTAATATGATATTACTGTGATATGATATGTTTGTGTATTGTTTTTATGCTATGTAATTTTATTCTATGTTTGGAACTTTGGAGTGCTTTTGTGAGCCACCCCAAGTCCATTATTATTATTATTATTATTATTATTATTATTTGAAACACAACAAGATTAATACACAGCAAACAAGATCACTCTGCTGGTTGTTGTATTTGATCACATGTCGGACACTTCCCAAGTGTCTAGGACTATGTGATGTATCGGTGAATAATGTGTGCAGATCCAAGTAGAGTGGCCTTTTCCAGCTGACAGATGGTACTGTAATTTTGTCAGTGCCATTGGTGCTTAAGTGCAGCCCAAGGTCTTTAGGCACTGCACCCAGTATGCTGATCACCACTGGGACCACCTTGACTGGCTTGTGCCAGAGTCTTTGCAGTTTGATCTTTAAATCCTCGTAATGTGTCAGCTTTTCCAGTTGTTTCTCTTCAATCCTGCTGTTGCCTGGGATTGCAACATGTCAAGCCCTCTTCGCAGGAGGACATGGGAGGTTGCTGTGTCCTCCCATGCAGCTGTATGGGGCTCAAGATCTTTGCTTTGCACAGCCGTGTGTCAAGCCCTCTTCTTCATGGGAGGACATGGTGGGCCATCATGTCCTCCCACAAAGACAAGTGCTCTGCAGGCACCCATGGCCATGCAGGGCTCTCCCTAGAGCACTGCACAGCCACAAGTGAAACCCTCTCCCCTCCCCCTGCCAACTGCCCTTGGCGCTTCCCCCCTGCCCACCCAGGCCCAGCCCAGCATGGCATGCAGCCCCCTTTCAAAAAAGTTTGCCCATGCCTGAGCTAAATCATACATTGGTGATAGTGACATAATTAAAAGCAATATAAGTCTTACATTACCTATCTTAAAAAGCAATATAAATCTTACCTTACATAGCCACTCTGAGTCCCCTTCGGGGTGAGAAGAGCAGGGTATAAATATAGTCAATAAATAAATAAATACCTGTGGTTTAGGCAAGTGATTCATGCACCAATAATAGAAGAATAAGCAGACATTACTACTTCTGTTTTAGAGCTACCTTGGTCCAAAGAGCATCATGCTGTCCATTATTTCCAAGGTGGACAGGCAATACCTTGCATTCCCACATCCTTTCTTATTTATTTCTTTCCCAGTCTGAGAAATGTGCAGCTATCACTCATCTCCACACATTCCCTGTTCCATTTTGTTTATTTCTTAATTGAAGACTCCTGCCATCTTTTCCTGACACTTACTGATGGTGCCCCTTGTTGACATTTCAGGTCTTGTGGGCTTGGCCCTTTCATATGCCCTATCAGTCACAAATTTATTGTCCGGACTCATTACCAGCTTCACTCAAACTGAGACCATGATGGTGAGTGTAGAACGAACAGAGGAATATGCCACAGAGATTCCCATAGAGCCTCAGGAGAAATTGATCCAGGTAAGGCTGTCGTCTTAGGACACTTAAAGCCATGCTCATTAGAATATCAGATATGCTAATAGTGAATTATATCCGCATTTGTCATGAATTGTACTTTGGGCATTAGGCAGATTCATTTAGATCCCTTCTTAGCATCATAACCAAATATATTCTCCAGTTGCATAATTATGCTTAACTAGCCGTCCCCTGCCACGCGTTGCTGTGGCCCAGTCTGTGTATGTGTTTTGTGTGTGTAATTATGTGTGTGTGTGTATATTTGTGTATACCTGTATATATGTGTGTTTGCATATATGTGTGTGTGGTTTTGTGCATGCGTTGTAATTTTTTAAAATTTGTTGGCTTTTTGAGTCTTTTCCACTGTGTTTTTCAGTGTTTTTATGAGTGATGGTCACTTGTTAGCCTGATAAGTGTCTTGTGTCCAAATTTAGTGTCAATTCGTCCAGTGGTTTTTGAGTTATGTTAATCCCACAAACGAACATTACATTTTTATTTATATAGATTTGTATTAGTGACCTTGATTTATAGTATTAGTATTGTCATCTTCATCATACTAGTTTAGAAGATGGAGAAAGATAAGAAGGCTGAAAGATTGGGGCAGTTAATTTCCCCGTTACTAACATGTTTGTATATTCATCATAGTTAATGCAAGAAGTAGGAAGAGGTCATACTTGCACACTTCGATTTTACATTATCTGGTTCTCCTAATGGCCTCACCCTGGGGAATAAAGTGCACATAAGCCCAGGCAGCCCATAGCCTGCTATAGATAACTGTATTACCAGCCTGGAATAATCTAGGTAGAATTAGTTGTTTTGGAACCTAATTCCGCCATTAACCGAGAGGGAGTCTCCATCAGCAAAAGGCTACGTTTCCCTGCTCTATACCATCTGCTACATCAGGCAGGGGCAAGCTTCAGCCCTCCAGGTGTTTTGGACTCCAACTCCCACAATTCCTAACAGTTGATAAATTGTCTGGGATTTCTGAGAGTTGAAGTCCAAAAGGTTTTGGAGAGCCTCAGGTTGCCCATGTCCATGCTACATAATTTACCAACTCCCAATTGGAAGGCAATAAGTACTGCCACGGAGGGACAGCAGGATCTGCTCTACTTTCATTAGTGCTTATGGGAACGGATAAAAGGGGGTCTACAGTAGGGTACTGTGGGAATTCTTGCTATTCATTGTAACTGATTGTTTTTACTCATCTTTCTTTAAGGTTAGACCTGACTGGCCAAGCCAAGGTCACATCGAATTCCAGCAGGTTGTCCTGGCCTATAGGCCTGACTTACCCAATGCCCTGGATGGGGTAACCTTTACTATTTATCCTGGGGAGAAAGTAGGAATAGTTGGGCGCACTGGCTCTGGCAAATCCACTCTCTTTTTGGCCCTTTTCCGAATGGTGGAGCTGACAGGTGGCCAAATTCTCCTGGACAATATTGACACCAGTTCTGTAGGTTTGAAGGAGCTGAGGTAGGTCATGTTTATCAGGCACTTTGACAACAACTGGGAACATTTAATGTAATTTGCCCTATTTCATTGCATAATTATTACAACTTCCCCAATTTGGGGGGGAGGGGTGACTATTATGTGAAAAAAGCCCCATTTCAGGAGCTTCTTTCACTGCATAATAGTCAGTCTGAGGGCGCAGCCACAGGTGGGTGATTGTTCGCCTGCCCATATGGCTGCACCCTTGAAGGAAACACTTGCACAGGCAAGTGAACTAAGAGTGCAGCTATTATGCAGGGAAAGGCAAAAGTCCTATTTTGCCTTCCCCCAAAGGGGATTATGTGGAGATGACTATTACGTGATGAAGTATGGACAATTCAAATATTTAGCAATCGCATGACATTGTCAAGAGACCAGTGAAAATCCTTTCCTGCCTATTCTCTAACCCCGCTGCAGTGTGTTAAAACTAGTTATTACTCAGCATCTAAACAAAGATGGTAATTGTCCCCAGTTCTCTTGCACAGAAGCATAAAAATGAGAACAGATAGGGCTGTCTGTTGCTGTCAGCTATATATCTCAATATTACCTCTGTTTTACTTTAAACTTTGCCTACTGGCAATTCTTCCTCTTTTAGGTCTAGATTGGCCATAATCCCTCAAGACCCATTTTTGTTCAGTGGCACAGTCCGCGAGAACCTGGATCCTCAGGGACAACACACAGATAATGACTTGTACCAAGTCCTGGAGCAATGTCACCTGCAGGCAGTAATTAAACGGATGGGTGAGTCTAGTGTTTGAGGAAGGAGGAAATGTTTATGCTTGCTAGGGCTCTTATTTAAAAAATTAATGGATTTATATGCTTATCAGAGTAATAAACAGGGCAGGAACCACTAACATTCATAGCAGCAAAGTGGGTTGAACACAAGGGGAACCTACCATAGTTTGGAATGGAGAACTTGTTTCCCAGAAAGCACTGCATTCCTTCAAGTGCAATTAGTCAAAGGCTCCATATTGGTGGTTGAGAGAACCATAGCTGAAAATGGGCAACCCTCCTTTTCCTTCTATGCAACCCTTTTTCCCACTTCGTTCAGCAATCTTGCCAGAAGTCTTAACTATGTACTCACTTAACAAAAGTCTTCTCCATGATTCAATCATTCTGTCCACTTTAGCTTCTCTCTTTGCCAGAGATCTGAATTACTTACTTGCATCTGACTCAAACTACCAGAGCCCTTTCTGTCATTCCATCCATGAACTAGTGCTGAGGAAGTCTAAAGTGTACTTAGAAATTAAAAATATAACTTCGGTCTCTTTCTTCATTCAGGTGGATTGGACTGTGAGCTAGGGGAGAGAGGAAAGAGTCTTTCTGTAGGACAAAGGCAGCTTGTTTGTTTGGCCAGAGCTCTCTTGACCCAAGCTAAAGTAAGTGCTATTATTTCAAAATGCATTTTCTGTATGTGGTCAAAGTTTCTAATATAGGATATTCTTGGTATGTTTGAATGAGGAAGATTTATACTGCAGCTTTTGTATAATCACAGTATATTTGATAGGGAAGATAACATGCCGCAGAGCTTGCTAGCACACATTCTAATAGGAAGGCTACTTTGTTCGGGACTTTAATTTTTACAAAAAGTGGTAGTTTTCACAATTAACTTACTCTGGATCTAATCTTACATTTTTCTCATAAAGTAAAGGCTCATTTATGGAGTTTGCCACTACAGGGTGTTATGTCTGGTGCTTGCTTCTAGCTTTGATTTGATAGCTGTGAAAGGTGATTAGATAAATGGGTGGAAACCAGGTTCTGCTGGTGGGTTATTAGCTATGGTGGCTAAACAGAATATGGAATGGAGTGGCAGTATGGCATTGAAGAGAAGTAGCTTGGAAAAAGAAACTTTGTGAAAGTGATTACCTTCATGCCTTATTGCTTGGCTTAACAACTGAATTGACTTAAATGTTTTCTGTGAATATGAAAGACAGGATGAAGAACCTTTGTCCCCAAAGCCCCAGCCAACTTGGTCAATGGTATGGGATTTGTGGGAATGCTAATCCAGGCCATCTGGAGGGCCATAGTTCATTCACCCAGTGCATTGGCCAAATATCCTTTATTTTTGTTTGATCTGAATCATTCTTTTCTTTCTTCATCTGATTCACAGATTTTGTGCATTGATGAGGCCACTGCAAGTGTGGATCAGAAGACAGACAGATTGCTCCAAGAGACCATCCGCCAGCGATTTGCAGATAAAACTGTGCTGACTATTGCTCACAGGTGTTTACTTTTGCTTTCATGCTTGTTCTCATGACTCTCAAATGGCAACCAGCATATCACTCAGCTGGTGTAAATTATCTTCTCTCAGCTTTTTCTTCTGGCACTTACATTGCCAGTCTTGAATAAATGAAACGGCACTCGTTGCCGTGCCAATTAGCACAAGAGTTGGGAACATTTGTGCGCATGACTGCCTTTTATATAATGCAGCAGGGCTCTGGTATTATAGGAGAAGGGTATGCAGATCCTGTCTTTATGGTTCTGCTGTAAAATAAGGCAACGGGCTTTGTTTTGTTTTTAGATCTTTGCCTTTTTCACAAGCCTCTTTTGACTCTATTCATCCTCCTGCTTGTTTTTGCCAGGTTGAATACGATCTTGGACTCAGACCGAGTACTGGTGATGCATGCTGGCAAAGTAGCAGAGCTCGATTCTCCCATCATTCTCAGCCAGAAGCAGGACTCTTTGTTTCAGCACCTCCTGCATAGTGGGCAACAGTGATCCCCCCGAAGAGATGAACAACTTGGCAGTTACTACCTTGTAACTGGAAACCTTCCCCCTATAACAGGGCCTTTCCCCTGATATTTCCCTTCATCTTCAGCACAGTCAAATATACACTTCACATCCTGCTGAAGCTCCAGATTATAACTAGAAGCCAGCAGAAGATATCTACTCCCAAGTGTATGAACAGATATGTTTTCTCAGGTTGAGAAGTACATAATTATTTTTACAAAGAATAAATGTCATTTTCTAAGGGGTCTGTTGATGCATGGTTTGAGGAATGTATGTATTTCTTTTGAAATATCAAGTCTTTTTGAGTTGTCACTATGGTCTACTATGCTGCTGTCAAGTCTTTCTAAAAGGTGGTTGCATTAAACTGAAAAACTCTGGACAACCTTTCCCAGTAGTTTCATGTGCGCACCGAATTCAGATAGATGACAAAACAGAACTGTGAGGCACCTCATAGGCCAATGACTAGAATGAAATGAGAGTTGTCTAGTAAAAATCAGTAGCTCCAGTCTTGTCCCAGACAGATGCCCTAGAAGAATAACATTATCAATGGTAATGGAAGCCATCCCACATCCAGTTCCCAGCATATCCAACAAGATGATCAAATCTGTCTGCATCTGATAACCAAAAATTAGATTGAAATGGTTATAGATAATCCATTTCATCTATGAAGCCTTGGAATTTAAATACTTCAGAACCCTACTCGAAAACGGCTGACTAAACTGCCCAAAATCAATATGGTGGGATTTAGGGAGGGTTTTTGTAGGGGGCGAAGTCTTGCTATGTTGAAACCCACCTGGACATCTTTATGAGATAGAAGGACAAGGGTCAATCTCACTTCTCTAAAGCATTCGTCTACATTTTTGAGTGATGCAAATGAAAATATAGTTATTACCATGGAGAAGTATATCAGAGCAGATCCAAATAATTTTATCCATAATGTTGACGTCCGTACATTTTTTCTGTGTGATCACACGCCAGAGTATTTGACCCCCCCCCCCCCATTTCTCTAGAGGATTCTATGCAAATACAATTTTCATCTGTCCCCACTGTATCTTTGTTGCCGCCAACAAATGGGCTCTTCAAATGGGCTCTAAAATACATTTCGTTGGAAAGTGTTCCACCTTGTTACAAATGAAAATTGCATACCTTGACACAAAATGTGCCTGCCTAAGTATTTCTGTATGTTGCTAGGACTAGTGGTATGTCCCATGGATACAGCCTGGAACACAGAGTTCATAGAATCATAAGAGTTGGAAGAGACCTCATGGGCCATCCTGTCCAACCCCATGCCAAGAAGCAGGAAAACTGCATTCAAAGCACCCCTGACAGGTGGCCATCCAGCCTCTGTTTAAAAGCTACCAAAGAAGGAGCCTCCACCACACTTCAGGGCAGAGAGATCCACTGCTGAACAGCTCTCACAGTTACAAAGTTCTTCCTAATGTTCAAATGGAATATCCTTTCCTGTAGTTTGAAGCCATTGCTCCGTGTCCTAGTCTCCAGGGCAGCAGAAAATAAGCCTGCTCCCTATGACTCCCCCTCACATATTTATACATGTCTCCTCTCAGCCATCTCTTCTGCAGGTTAAACATGCCCAGCTTCACAATATATCCCATTCATCCTAGATCACAAAAGAATACATGAAGATCAGGATGAGAAGGAAAACCTTTATGATACACAATTTTCTGTTTTTATGTACATGCAGAAAATATTGAAGTCAAGAATAAAAGGAAAAGCAGGTTACTATGACAGCAATTGGAAAGATGGCTGATTTTTGCATTCTTCAGTCCCCAAACTAATCACACATTCTTCTAATATTCAGTGCAAAGAAATCTGTTTATAACTACCAGTCCCCTGTTAGAATATGTCAAGTTTAATTGGGGCATGGAGAAACGTTCCTCAGTGCTTATTTTGGAGCCAAACCAATCTCAAAGAGGCCACAGCGGTGACCATGATAACCAAACAATGAAAGGCAAAAGACGGACAAGATTTCCCAGTAAAGATACTGGCCATCAGTGTGAGGGAGCATCACAAATTAACCACCTGTGACAGGAGCTCAATACAACAATATTAATGGAATCAAGACAAAACTTGATGAAATTGCAAACTAGAAACCTGATACTTCTGAAACAGATCAAGCAAATGAGCTCAGAATTGTTCATCAAAAGCAGAGTGCACAGAAGATCTTGAGGCCAAAATTACAACAACTCAAAAACAAAGGCAAAAGTAATCTAGTTTGCATATCAAAGGCCTGAAAGAATATTTTACAAGGGAATACTTGTGTGATAGTACTGCTAAATTTTCTTATATGTATACTTTTAGATACATATAAGACTATTATATGGAGTAAACTGCAAGAATTGCAAGCCTTCCATTTTCTATAAGACAAGGCTGAGGTTTTGGGCAACCACAGGAAGATAGGTTTGTGTTTTAGGATGACCTTGATAAGCAATGGTGGTGATATGCTCCTGAAAATCTATATGGATTGTAGCTGTATGGCTTTGTATGCTAACAAAGTCAAGGAGATATCATGAGCTTTATGAAACACCTCAAGGAAATGTAAGCTATAAATATGCTATGCAGCTTGCAATATATTGTATTTAGAGGCTTTCATGGGCAGACATTGTGGAGGGTACAGGGCCCAACCTTCCATCCCTATTCTCTTCATCTCCCACTAAAATGAACTATTAATTTCAGTTCCCATTTTCTTCTCAGCATTTTGTGGAAGAGATCGTTGGGGTGTTCTGACACTATACATCACTCTTTAAGGACTGTAGGATGAAGCTGCATGGTGTCAGGAGGGTGCAAAAAGGCCACATATCTTCCATTGACAAAATAATATGCATCTTTATACAAAAAATCTGGCAAAAAGTGAAATAAAGTATTTGGGGATTCCCCATAAAGATGCTGGTTATGAAAAATGGGAAACTCCAAACTGCTACTTCTTGCCCCAGAGCTGCAGTGTGAAATCCTAGAAGGCCCTGCTTCAAAAGAAGCAGAACTGTATTTAACAAATCAAGGAGACAAGTTTTCTTACCAAGCTTACCTAGAAGATAATTGCCAGTGACTGCTAAAGGGAAAAGTAAATTAACAGGTGTGATTATTGGATGCGTACCTGAATGAAAACAAGTGCTTCTGTATGGACATTTTTAGAAGGCTACTGTGTGAAATGAGGGTCCTTCTTCTATAAGCAGTTGTCTCCAGCCAAGCAAAGCTGCCTAAATATATCAAGTTGCTGAAATAGAAGTACAGATAGTCCCCAAGTTACAAACAAAATAGGTTTTGTTGGTTTGTTCTTAAGTTACACTCTATGTTTGTGAAGTTCAATATGACCAGTTTTGAAGGATAGACCCAAAACAGTACAAAACAATACAAAACAATAGGGATAGCTATCCTTGTAGGCATTGTTGTTATCCTGCAATATTGACTGTTTAGTTTCTATTTTCCGGCACCTGCATTGTAGAAATGTGATAAGTATTACATATTTGATAGCATACATCGGCCACTATTTTCCCAGTTGATTTATAGATTTAAAGTGTTTTAGCAATTCCTTTTCTGGATGTTTGGATCTGCATCATGAGCTTGTGGATCTATACTTCTCCTCTCCTGTGAACCTCTCTATTTCTCCAGAATACTAAGAATGATCAAGGAGAGTGGCTGTTGAGCAAAATGTGTCCTAAAAATATTATTAATGATAAGTAAACTGAAACCACATCCACAAACCTCATCACAGTATTTTTTGAATAGAAGTTCATTCTCAAATAAACATAATTTACAACTGCAGTCATCTCTCCACATTTGGGGTTTGACTTTTACATATCTGATTAAAATGTTCCCCTAAGGAGTCTCTAGGGGCCCATCCAGACAGGCCCTAAAATGTGTGCCTTCCCACATATTTATCTGGGGCATTCGGAAGACACCTCAGGTAAACGCGACTGCATTCAGCACATAGCTGAATACAGCACATAGCAGGAAAACACTCCTTTGTGCCGAGGCAATTTGATAGTGGGTTAGATCTGCATTTTCTTGAAAGGCGCAGGTCAAACCCACTATGGCCGCTATCTGGACTGCCCCCTCAGAAGTCCTGGAAGTCCAGACAGCCCTCTCGCGTTTTCCAGGATAATTCAGCCGGGAAAAAACTGCGAAAGCACCAACACCCTCTGCAAAAGCCACCTCCAAAAGCATTTTAAAAATAAAATAACAGCCATTTCACCTTTTCCGGAGTTCTCCTGGCTTGTACCAATAACGTGCCAAGACAGGGATGGAGGAGGAAAATCACTCCTGCCCTCCCCCCTTTTTTTTCTTGGCGCGTCATTGGTACGGGGAAATGGCTGTTGGGTGAGTTATCTTCTTTTTTTAGAGGCTTTTAAAAGGGGTTTTATTTTGTGTCCTTGTGCCCTGCTGGAAGGCCTGGCAGGGCATGTGGACACGCCTCCCCCAGAAAAGTACACACTTTCTGGGGTGTGTGGACTAGAATGTGGGAACAATTGCATTTTTAAAACACGATTGTTCCTGGGTTAAAGGACTGCCTAGAACCGCCCTGCGTGTCATGGCCTGAAACGGTCAGCCATTAATTTTCTTCTAGATAGCGTCTTGAATTAAGAGAAATGAGCTTGCAGCAGCCACAGGATGCAATTAGATCTTGAAGATCCTGATGCTTCTTTAGGTTCTCAGTCAAAAATCACCTACAGTTCCCAAGCTATCACAAAGATAAAACTATCATCATATCTCCATTACCAAAACCTCTGGCAAAGAAGCTTTACCAAATCTTTTTATATCTACCCTAACTACCACATATGTATGTTTTCTTCTTGTGTTCTGTCCAGGTGATTTTTTTAACAGCAGTAGCATTGAAGGGATGATAAAGGAGGGGATGAAAAACATGAATTTATGACTTTGAAATGCATCAATATGACTAGAGCTAAAAAAGACCCAGGGTGCATCTACCCTGTACATTAATGCACTGCTTTAACTTCCATGCCTCAATACTTTGGAATCATAGAAGTTGTAGTTTTATAAAGTCTTTAGCCATCTCTGCTACAGTGCTGGTGCCCCCACCAAACTACAACTCCCAGAATTCCACAGCAAAGTCATGGCAAAGTGGTGTCAAATTGCATTAATTTTATGGTGTAGATGCATTCTTGAATTCTCTTCTCCATTTGTCCTCATGTTCTTTCTGATTCTGGCACCAACGATGCTGTCAAAGAAGTAAACTCAGGAACACATTGACTTCATTACATGAGAAATACCTATACTTTAATGGCTTCCCCAGATCACCTCTCAATCACATTCAACAACTATATTTGATTGGGCGTTCTCTGCTATGGCACCTGGTGCTAGCGCCAATGCCATTCCAGTGCCAAGTAAAAACACAGCTGTGGGGCA